AACTGAAGCCGATCTATTCTATACAGATGAAGTAAGTTCATTCTTAATTCTTCTCCTCACTCTCTCTCTCTCTCTCTCTCTCTCTCTCTCTCTCTCTATCTCTATATATATATAAATATATATATATATATATATCTATTTCTAACTCACTCTTACTCTTTTGGTTCTTGGGGGGCAGTGAGTGGGTTGGAGGGAAAGGCTTCGCTTCCTTAGAATGAAAATTAAGACAAAAAAAGTTTTTTTTGCTCTAATTTTTCATTGAAAAAAAAAAAGAAAAAGGCCATGAATAATAATAGTAATGATCATAATAAGAAAATTCATAATAACGTTATTATTATTTTTATTTTTGTCTCAAATATTCAGATGGGATTTTCGATAAAAACGATAAATTTTTACCAAATATTAAGCGGTATCCATTATGAATAGATTAAAGATTTATGATAATAATGTTGAGATTGCTACATATGTGATCCAAAGAACGAATGAGAAGACTCCACACAGAATCTTTGGAACGCCTGGACCACCCAATTCACCCTTTCCAAATATGGCCTGACTCCTACGTAAAATCAACATCGCAAGAAACAGAATGGAACAGATGGTAAATATTATGACGCTGAAACAATCGTTTACACAATAAGATTTTCCGTTTTCTTTTTCTCGACATTCTTTAAAATTCTTTTTTTGTCTTCATTTCACACGTACCTATTGACTACACTTCCAGCCATGACTTCAAATGGTTCTCCTTTGGCTGTCCAATAGATGGAAGCTACAAGCCAGGGTAATCCAAGTCCAAGAAAGACATTAACAGAATTTGATCCAGTCACATTTCCAACAGCATTATCAGCTGTAGCATCCTTAATTAGAAAAACATTTTTTTATTATTTATAACTGTTTGTTAGCAGTCTGGCGCACTTAAAATAGAAACAATCAGATGGTTTTTAATCAAAGCAGTTTCAGTCATCTTCGTCGTCATCAGTAAATACAAAGCATTTTGAACGGAAAAAGTTAATTTTCACTTAGAAAACTGCTTTCTATTTGGTTTTTCGTTTCTTTTTTCTTTCTTTTTTTTGCTGCAAAATTATAGTTCAAAGCATATGAATAGGGAAGGAAAAGATGATGGAATTGAAATAAAAAAAGACAATTTTCAGTAATAATCGCCAGTTAATTCTTTCATTTTCGACGTTTTTCATGAAATAACTACTCAATCACTTCTTCTCTTCTTCCTCTTCAAGTTTTCGCTTCCCTTGAGCTTTTCTATTGACTGCTCTTTGTGCAGAAATAATGGTTATGACGACACAAAAGTTGTGTATGATCCATCTACCACATGGTCTATACGGAGGGTATTTTGAGAAGAAAAAAAAAAGATTTTGAAAAATACTTTTTGTGAGACAAAATAATCTTTTGTATGGACTGCGTGCTTGTACCATATTTGGGACAACAAATGTCTTCCTTAAAAAATCCTTTTACGATTTTTTTCTTCTCCTCCTACACTTCGCTCACAACGAATTCCCATGCTTGTTCCTTCTACGAAACGTGCTACAAGAAACGTGACAGAATGAAAACAAAAGAGGAAGTAAAAATATGAAAATGAGGGGAATGGTTTCAATGTTCAGACCAGAGCAATGCTAACGAAGAAATCTTTGAAGTATGAGAATTCCTCAAGAGATGAAAAAGAATTTTGCTTTTTGAAACTCACATTTTCAGCTGCTATTTTAGATGCAAAAGTATCAGGCAAGCTTGTTCCAATGGCTACTAACGTTATAGCAGTCACAGCATCTCTCATACCTACCATACAACCAAATATGGAAGCCAAATCACCTGCAAAAAATTAATTAGCGGCGCTAATTCCTCAAAACATGTGATGAAAACGTGACGAAAAGATTTCGGATCAAAGTTTATATTTGGGACGAAACAAAATAATATAGGAATGAGGGAGAAAGAACTTACCAACAACAGCCGTTATAACTCCAATTACGGCAAGTGAGACCAAGAAACATAGCCAACCTCCTAATAAGGAAGGTGGTGGTATAAAAGCAAATGTAAACTGAAAAATGAATGTTCAGCTCAGCTATCTGATTTCTTCTCATTAGGAAAACAATTTATAATCCAGGTCAAAAATAGAATTCATAAAAGATGTTGACTACCTTCCAAGGAAAAGCCAAAGCATGTAATATACAATCGGAAAGCGTCGCATTAGCCAAGTCACCAGCATTAACAGAAGTTGCATTCAGAATCTATTTAATATTTTTATTATTAAAATAGAAATGAGAGGGAGTGATAAGTCACCCCTGCGTAGGAGGAACCGATATTACCTGTTCTTTCCATGTGCGCTGTCCAGGCGTCATTTTGCGCATGTAATGACCAAGAAGCTTTCGTACATTTGTTACATTCTTCAATAGGTTATCATCCGATATGATTGTGACAATGGTCTTCTTGTTCTTTCCAATCGAAATTTCTGGGAAACACTTCGAGATGCATGAAGTATGTACTGATCATACCTGAGTTGCTGATGTTCAGAAGCTCAATCATGAACGTTTCGTCCTTCTCATCCTGTTTATCGTCCAATATCTCAACGTCAATATATTTTTCGTATTCCTATATTCATAAAGTTTTTGAACTTTGTTGTTCTTCATTCTCTTACGTATCCATCAAATTGTAATTTTCCATCTGCTATAGGCATGTAATCAAACTTCTGCTGTGCTGTTATATCCAATGTTTCGTATGAGATTGTACATTTGCCTTTTCTTATACTTCCTCTTCGAGAGACAAAAACTCTGGCAAACCCACAATTTTCAGACACAACCTGAATTCCTTCTCTTTCTGATTATTAAATTATCTTTTTTGACTCACATAATTGGCACGAACAAACTCTACGCCTGCTTCACCCATTAGTGACGCGGTATCGTCTGGATAGCGAACTCTGGCTACAGCCGCAGGACCTAACTTCACTGAATCCGCTTCGTCTTGATCCTATCAAAACTACTTATTAGCTTATTGTGAGAATCACAAACTTCAATTTTCAAATGAACATAGAAAACATGATTTGGTCTCCAGTCTGCTCCCTCTACTAAGGTTATATGAATATCTCTGAACGAAGGCAATGATGTCTGCTCTTAGAACTCTTATGCACTTTTCTGTCTCTCCACTGACGAATCGTACAGATTCGGATTTAGCCAGGAAATGAAGATCACGCTTTGCTAAACCATTGACGGTTTGATAGTTGACTGTTAGAGGATACTGGCAAGATCCTTTCCGCAATATCTGACAGTTATAGATAATGAGATCCGAAAAGTACATTATAGAAACTAACTGTTAGTGTGACTTGTTTGTCGCTTGATTCAACAGCATAAACTCTTGCAGAGAATTCGATCATAGGCTTGACTGAAAGCACAAAAAAAGGTTTTTATCATAGATAAACTACGGATGTACTATGAGATGAAACGTAGAATGGAAATAATTGAAGCTAAGTAATCTACCTCTTCCATCCGATTCAATTCTCTCAGCTTTCTTCAGTAAATTATGAACATCACATTCTTCTTCCGATCTATTGAACGAGGACGACATACATCGGACAGCTCGAATTCGGTAGAACAAACGATTATGTTTCTGAAATGTTTTTGGATGGTGAAGAGGGGTCTTTTTATTTTTTTTATCTTCTTTTTTTGAACATACCGTATTTTGTTTTAATCTGTATGCTAAAATTAGAGCTTGGTCTTCTGATGACAGCATTGGATATGTTCGAGAGACATCACGTGAAAGCTTTTTAACTTCTTCAAAAGAAGGTGTTGGTAACTTGCCAATAACTCTCTGTAATTGCATTTTTAATAAAGCTTTGTATACGTCGTATTTACTGATCCGTCGGGCTGTAAACTAGCTTGACTAGCGTATTGTTTAATATGTACATCAAGCTGATTAGCAGAGCTTCTCTTATCATCCATCGTCTCAAGCTCTACTTCCAAATTGGCTTTCTTTGATTTCCAAACCTAAAGAAGTAGAGAAGAGATTGAAAACATCTTTGTTTTCAAGTAAACAAGATATAAACTACCTCGATGTCAGCTAAATAAGCCATAGTAACTAAAATTCCAAAGAAAACAAGAGTAAGAAGTGCTTCCCATATTTCAATGACATTTGGAGATATCAATGAAAGGATCTGAAATCAGTCATAGAACTTGTACTTTGATGTTCATTAGATCGGTATCCTTACAATTACCAACCATACATAGGCAAATGTTCCAAAGAATGCCGTCACAACGAATACCCGGAACATTTCGATCCTTTTAACTTCCGAGTTTTTAACAGAAACGATGCAAATGGCTGAGATACAGAATAAGTTGAAAGCAGCAGAACCTGAAAAGAATCACTCTGACATAGGCAGGACAGATTATACAATCAGTCATACCAACAATAGTTCCCGGTCCAAGATCACCTGCTTTGAAGCCATTGCCAACAATCTCAATGATGGATAAGAGGATTTCAGGGGCACTACTGCCTAAAGCCTGAAAATGTAATTGATAAGTTGTTTATACATATAATCAATGAAACCATTAATGTTAGGTTGGCAACTGTTGGATTCCATATTTGAACTTCTTCGAATTCACTGTCATCAACTTGATTGTTATCAACAAGTTGTTTATGCTCTTTGGTTTTTTTGACTCTTCTACAAATAGAAAAAGTTATACAAAGAATCAACCAAACTATTGACTTCGTAGCGCTGGTTATTCTTTCTATTGCACACATGAAGATATCGGCAGCTATAGCAATACCCAGGAAGCAGTATAGCAATCCTGCCAAGTATATAAGTGCATTTCGAGGAGATACATCCAGAGCTCCGATTATGATACCGTTTTTGCAAGTTAGGTTATGGCTCTCCATTGCCCAAGTGTTTTCTATAACGTATAACGTTATGAATGACCTTCTCTGTCATTAACTATGTCATATAGTTAGCATATTCAAATTCAGATAAGATGCGGGTTTTTTGACAGCGTCATCAACTTGATAATGAAGTCAAAGCTTCTTTCAGCTGACTCCTTATAGATGCACAGAATTTCATTGTTGAGGTTGTTCGAATAATAAATAAATGAATAAAAATGAAAATGAGAGATCATATGAAAGATGCTTTAACAGGAATAGATAATCAGAGAGAGAGGGAGAGAGAGGGAGAGAGAGAGACACAAGAGACAGGATAGAGTGTAATTGGAAGAGAGATTAGAAATATTTCCTTAACTTTGCACATAAAATACATTTTCATTCAGAAATTCTTTTTCTCCTCCGTTTCTGCACAATTTGCTGTTTTGCATACGAAATACAAAATGATTTCTCTTTCTATCAATCAACTCACTCTGCAAGGATCTAGTGAAGGAAAGACGAATAAAAATAATTATGGAAAATGATGTATTTATGATTTACAAATAAGAATTTACAAAACATGTCATATAGAGAGCTACTTACACATCCTCTTTCTTACTTTTTTTTCCAAACTCTATGACGTCACCTATAACAAGTCGTCATAGATTTCAGTTTTCATAGAAAATATTCTTTTATACTAAGTGAATACACGGCGATACCATCTTTTCACACATTTCCGAGTTGAAATCACAAAATTACACGAAAAAAAGAGATTTTTCAGTCAATTTGTAACAACTATTGTCATCTGCCTCCCATTCTACTATGTATGCAAGAATTCAAACGCAAAAAAAGCAAACATTGTCATGTACACACACACGCTGCACACATAGAGGTCGAAGAATTTAAGAACAAAAAGAATTTTATGTACGAACCCAAAGAAGTTAGAGTTAGCAGAGCAATACAAGTTCATTAGATGAACAAGATGTATGAATGTCTAACATGAAATTCGTCATTCTCATTAATCTTAAAGAAAGAAAAGGAAGAAGCTTCAGTTTAATCGTCCAAATAATAGAAAGGGTAAGCTGGAGCCACATAAAACAAACTTAACAATCAATATCACAAGGTAAACAAATGACAAAATAGGCAAAAAGCCAGAAACAATGGAATCCTCATGTGTAACCATGACAATACCCTCATGCACCTACTACTACAGCAGGAGATTGTTAGCGTGATACTCAATAGTGGTTAAATGATAATAATGAAAAAAGTAATCAACAAGCTATTATCGTGAAAAAACTATAATTTAGAATTTGAAAAAATTTTTTTGAAATAAAAAAAACGTGAAATTTCACGTAACTGCAAATACGTCAAACCGTTTTATACGACACACGCATTTCTAATTGAAACGACGCTGGTGAGCGGTTGCGACGAACAAGACAGAAGAATGAGTAGAACCTATTCTCGCTGTTTAAGTTTAACTCTTTTCGTAATTTAGATGCTGAAATGACTGTAAAGTAACTGGGATGTGAAAGAAAATAATAATTGGTCAGTTGTATATATGGGAAGATGTGAGGCTGAGGTACTCAATGAGTACCATGCATACTGACCCAAATCGATCAATACCATTATGGTCTAACCTTTACAGAATGTAAAGAGATGCATACAGAATAAAGATGGGGAGAGAGGAGGAATAGAGTGACAGATGAATTTCCTTTTGATAGGAAAACAACATGTAGTTCAATGAAACGCTTCCTTTTTCGGTCAAACCTCATTATTGAATTGACCACTAACTTTTTCAATGTGCCATGCATTCCATGTTTTCAATTGAAGAACAGAATTACGCTTCCGTATTATTTATTTCTATGTCACAAATGAATTACAATATCGATTTCATGTCATAATGAGAATAAGGAAACAAGAACTACAGAGCAAAAGCAGAGCACCATATCTCACTGCGGGATGTTTGACAGTACAATTTTTTGTTTGGAGAAAGACTCATAATGTCATTAGAGCATGTGACAATCCATACCTTGTGTTCAAATTTATCATTTAATGATACTTCGATAGCCTGTCGAGATCTATCCAAATCGTTATGAATATTCTTAAAATAATTTGATTTTCTGCGAATTTCAATATATGATAACTCACAAATTTGATTATATCCTTTATCTGGTCATTCGTACACAAGGGATCAAAAGAGGACGAATAGGTGTTCGATCGCGTGTTGAGTATTCTAGTGGGTTGATCTGTCGGAGCTAAAGGTGGGTTATAATCTGTGAAAGATGTTACGTCCATCATGCCATAATCATAGCTCTGACGGGCATATCTTGCTATAAAATTTGAAGTTTGAAACAAAAACCAGGCTAAACATACCTCCTAGTATGGTGTAGGGAGAAACAACAAAGCACAGAGTTAAAATATATTTTATCATTTCAGTACTTTTTTTCAAAAGAAATGTAATTTAATGGCTTTCCCAGACTTTCCCAACGTTCCTTTTTTTACCTAAAAAGGGCGGGTGGCAAGTATTATATGATGGTTCTTGTTGTAAGATGGATGTGTAAACTTTCATTGTTGATGACAAATATGGTAAATTACTTGAATTAATGTAATAAATTTATTTTTTCGACAAAAATTACTAGAAACTGGATCTTACTTTTTGCAAAAAAATAGAAAAAAATTCTTTTTTTGCTCTGTTTTAAAGCTTGAAATTCTTGTTGATGTTTCCCGTTTACATAAGAGACCATTGTCTTTTCGTATTGTCAGAATATCTGAGAAACCACATATTATTCGCCTTCACTGCTGTCAGTCTCATCATTGCCGACAGTTATGCGATTAGTTGTCCCGAACAAATGATTACATTCTGAGGTGGCCTCTTCCGTTGAATAATTAATTCTTTAAAGAACATTAGAGTTGTCATTTGATCAATTGAACCTTCGTAATCTGCAGTCCATACTATAGTCGCATATGTACACGAACACTCTCCATACAACTATCAAAGTATAAACTTCAAATATGGTGATCGCTAGCTGAAAGTATCGTTTTAGAAGAATTCGTCTTATGTATGATTACCAAGCTCAGATTCCAAATAACGATATCAGGCTCTAAGCTATTCTTAAGATTTGCTGTATCAAGAAAGCTGTAGAATAGTTGTAAAACAAGAATGAAAATGAATAGAATGCAGGCAGTAAAGTACGGAATAAGGAAAACATATCTGAAACCTTTGTCATATTTGGCAATCTTGTACTTTAAACTATAAAATTATTAAGAAAGACTGACTTTTTCGAATGCACTCCAGCAATCAGAAGAATATTGCTGAGACAGGCGGCAATGAAACCGAACAAGCCAACTGAAATAATTGGTGAATTATACCGTTTTTCAATCACATTTAGTTTACATAAACGTAAAAGTTCGTCGTTTGATGAAATGAATTTATAAATCAAAATTCCAATTAATAATAATAATTTAAAAGTGGCTAAGATAATGGTGCTTCTTTTGACATGTACATAACCAAAACAGGATTTATACTTTGGATGGTTTTCCTGGAAACTCAAGAGATCAATGAACGCGTGAAAAACGGAAAAAAACCTGGAAATTTGTAGGATCATACTCATCTCCTTCCACACAACAGCAAATAATATAATTATGAAGATAATTATGAAGAATATTTTTATTTTTCATATTGTTTCAACAATGAAGGATCTCTATGAAGATGATCCAATTCAATGCGAACTCGAGAACGGTGACAAATGGAAAGGAAATTATAAAAATGTTTCCTTAGCAGACTAGAAGAAAAATAGATTTTTATACATTAAGTTCATTCGAAAGTTTTATCAATGGATCGTCCTTCATCGAACTGATGATTTTTGGTGTTTCGAATTAAGAAATTTGAACAATGTCTTCATCAATTAACTTTTGGTTTATAATTTTTTATACTCAATTTACGGTTAAAAAACAAAAGCAAAGCAATTGAACATCTTCCCAGCGATCACACAATACTCTGAGTCATGAGTTGCTGTGAAGTTGAATATCTCTTTGGTACATAGGACGACTGAGTCGGAACTCATAGTGTTCTTGATCTCATCATGGATCTGTCGACGGCTTGTAACTTCATCATCCTCAACAAAAGCCTTGAAAAGTCATTATACTTATAAGTCACGTGTATATTTTCATACTCTTTTCATTGTATTCCGTAAAATGATACTATTGCATAGTTGATCATCACTTGATGCTTCCAATTCACCCGATTGGGTCATTCTGTAATTTTGATTCAATTCAATTATCTCTCATTTGATTTAAATTTTCTTTGTTAACTCATGAAACTCGCTCAACAGAAACCAAAAAACGTTATTTGTCAATTAAACCTTTTTCTTCTATAAGGTGCGTATCCTGCTGGTGGAGGTGCTGGTGGCGGGCCATACCCACCTCCACATGATGGCGGAGGCGGACAACAACATTGCTGTCTCGGCTGTGTTATACCTAGAAGAATTGTTTCAGAACAAAATGTATCGAGAAGACAAATTTTGGATGTTTTTTGGTCTTTTTTTTTTGGAATAATAGTTGTGAAGCTCACAGAACAAGAAGTTGTGATTGGTAATAGGAAGCAAGAACGGTGATGAGATGTGAAGAATGTTAGAGACAATAATGATAGAGGATCAGACAGGGAAGAGAACAACGAAGTAGGGCGAGAGATAGAGAGTCATGGCAATTATCAAAACACATCGATTCTCATAAATAGGCTGACGTATATTTTGCAGATTTCTTCATAATTAAGTAAGTGGATAATTTGATCATATGATATTCGAAAACGTTTCCAAAATACTTAGGAAGTGATAATTGGAATCATTTTTTTAAAATCCATTCGAGCGCTTTCTGTTTCAGACCAAAAGAGGGATAACAATAATTAGTTTTCTCTGAAAACTGTGCCATCTACGGTAATAAAAATAGAAAGAAAAACTTTTTGTTCGTCATAGACCAGAAGTCATGGCAGTTGGCTTCATGCAAGAAAATTTTCTAATAAATAAAAACGTCAAATTCTCATTAAATTCTATTTTGGGGTAAAACTTTGGAATACCTGGCAGTTCGAAGAAGAATCCACTGCTTAAGCACACAAATTGAAGTAAGAAAATAAGGGATTTCATGCTTACACATCATGCCATTCTGTCTTCCCTTTATATGGGCATGGATGGTTCATGTCTCAGTACTTAAAACTCTCGAAATTACTTGTTTGAATTGGTTTTTCTTAATTGTTTGTCGAACTTTGCAAGCTTTTCCTGTTTTTTCTTGAAATTAGCAAATATGAATCAGACTTATTTTCGTCAATCATAATTAATACAATTCAATTATAATATCGATTCTAATAAAAATAAATAATACGTAGCTTATGAGAATCAGGGAGATGAACTACCCACCGAGTCGTTGGAACTTGAAGAAACGATTGCCTTGAAGTATGTATTCATATCAAACTTCCAATATCTACTCCATTACCTGATCAACAATAGAGAGGAATTTTAAGAAAGAAATCTCAATCCACACAGGAGTTTCACTAATATCAGATCTGACGTAATTCTGTCCGAATCCTTTTATAAACGATATGCGAACAGTACACGCTTTCTGCAATTCGAAGCATACACTCAAAACTCTCAAGTTCGAACCTGTAGGGAATGAATTTCTCTCAGACTTCCAGATGATAATGCTTTGTTGTACGAATGATGGAAGCATCTTGAATCGAAAATTGGCATTCCCACTTAATTTAAAAATTGAATGAAAAATAGTTTGTCCATAGACTTACTTGGAATCCCATTTTCTGGAAGCCCTGCAAGCCTATACACTCTCATGGAATCATATTCTTCCTACAAAACTCATAACATCAGAAATCATTATCAAAAGGGATACCGAAATTGCGAAAAGTGGAGATTGAATGAATACAGGTCCCTTGCCAAGAGAATAGCACATACAGTTAGTTCCATCATAAACTAGTTTAATCCCTTTACCTATTATGAAATATGGATCAAAGACTAAGAAACGTAATGCTCACCTATCTGACTTCTGATATCAGTGACACCTCGCCTTCTGTTTCCATTATTTATTGATCCTATACTAAACCGAGAATCACATCCAACTACGCACAAACCATCGATAGTGATTTCTCTCTTCTTTGGTTTGAATATCTCTCCAACCTAAAACAACCTTAGAGCAATTGTTTATCAAAATAAAAAAACTTTCTCTTGAAACTCATTGTAACAGATATTTGCCCACGGCAAGTCTTCTTCGGGATAGTAATTAGAAGGTTTGCTGAAAAGATTCTTCGTCCACGAACTTCTGCCATTACCAGGAACATGTGTAGGATTGTTCCGTAACCGTCTGAATTTGGTTATGAGAACATAGACAAGTAAACTTTTTTGTTCTACAAATTTCGGTTGTTCAAGCCACTCGTCGACGGTGCTGTTGTGCTCATAGCTATAGCTGGGTGTAAACAAGGTCTGGTATTCTCTACTTCTGAAACTGAATATTGAAAACTTCCCACAACTTCTAAATTTAACCGTGTTGATAATTTCTATTTTCTTGAGAAAATTCAGGTGTCGGCTGAGGTTCAAAGTTATTGTTTTGCAGCAAGTAATTCTTGAAGCTCACATATAAGAAAAAACAAAAAACAAACATACAGGGAGCTCTCCGGTGCAAATTTTCTTATTTCCTTCCTATAGGCAAAAATTATATGATATTAAAAACAAAGTCTTTACCTCTATGACGTTTTCATACGCCTTTAAATATTCGTAAACGTCCTAGGATTGCAAATCGTTTCAGAGATCGAATTTGAGAGAAACTAACTAAGCCAATCCAATGATCAGGTATACTGGGACTGCAGTCGTCGGGATCGTCGAGAATATCTTTAAGAGTCTTGAAATACCATTTAATACATAGAAAGAACAAAACGCTTACATTGCAAACTTTATCGGTTTTGTCAACTTTGTTGTTCGCTTTAATTTTATCAGCACTAGTAAATCTCCGACGAAAGATTAGATTCAGTTTCGATAAATGTTTTTTTATGAAGTATAAGCGCGACTTATCATTCTTGAAAGTTGTCGCAATAGATGGTGATGAAAGCGGAGAAAGGGGTGTCACAAAAGAAGCTGATGCAGGTGCACCATTGTTCTGATTCTCTACGTCAAGAACCTCTTGGGGTACCCCTGATCGCGTCTGTTCTCTCTCATTCAAGGCTTGGAGCCAATGAACTTCTTCAGCTAGAATTTTCGAATCTATATGCGCCAATTGAGTCCTACATGTCGTCGGCATGACAGCATTGTTATCAGAATTGTGCAGATAGCTATTTGAGAGATTGAACGAATCAGTGATAGCATCTGATTGATTTTCAGGAATATGATTCCCTGAAATCTTTTCTTAGCCAGCACCACATCCCTCCTACTTACCATTTAGAGAGTTTTGAGAACTCTCCCCTGCTCCTTGTGATCCCGAATACATGTTTCTATACTTGCATTCTACAAATTTTAAGACTAAATCATTGTAGACATTCTTATTAACCACAAAATATACTTAAAAAGCCCGTAAAACATGGAAGGAAATGATAACCGATCAAGCTGGCGGCACTTTGACAACTTATCTAAGAATGAAAACCAAAATAAGTAAAAGGCCTTTCACTTTTATCGATTAGTGTTTCATGAGAAAAAAATTGAACAAGATCAAGCTACAAACATTCACTAGTAAATGGTTCCTTTTCTCACATTTCCTACTCACTGAAAGTACTTCCTGTTCCACTCAATAAATACAAACGACGATTTTAATATTTCCGATATATTTCAATAATTGCTGTACCTGTGAATTTCTCGAATTCATAATTGGATTATGTGGAGACTCAGCCATACATAAATGATTTTGTCAAAATTTGGTGATTAAATCCAGAAAGAGGTCGTACGTGCATTTCCTCATTAGATAAACTATGAATGATACACACTTTAGGATCTAATTATCTCTCTATTCCGATCAAATGTACTGTATGTACTTACTGGAGCACCCGAGGGAGTAAGCGTAACATCAAAAATATTTCGCTGCGTACCTATTTTCATGAACACGCTAGTTGGTGTTTCTATGTATTTTCAAGCTTATAATATCTTATTAATGAAAATTCCTATTGAATAAAACTAAATTTTTCAGAAAATGAGAAGAAAGCCTTCATTTCTCTTTGCACCCTATAGGGTTATGGGAATCGTTTGTACAGATGTTAAACCTGCGTTTTGTACTGCTCTGTCGAAAAACAAAATGACTTCTTTATATTGTCCAATTGACAATTCTGTTCATCATTACAATGCTACAAAACTTAGAACTGTAGCAGTTTCTAAAAGTTTACCAAATGTTATCACAGCATTAGCAGTTGAACCCACGTAAGCTTGTAGATTCATGTCTCTTAATACACATTTTCTAGGGGGATTTACGCTGCAGCTGGAAAAGAAATATATTTCATGAAATTCTGTAGAACAGTCGACAAAACTTTCACCGTGAATCATGTTACTAAGAACATGATGATCTTCGGAGATCAACTTGTAAGTTCGCTTATTGCTAAGGCATTCATAGCTCTCTTCCAGGTAATCATCGATCAAGAAAATGGAATAAACATTATCGAGAAAGAAAATGGTTCAGAAATTTTATATCTCGAAGGCTCTCCAGAATTTGAAATCACCGCTTTAGTTCATCCAGCTACTTATCTCAATAAGGTTTCGCAAATTTAAAGCACGTACAATTCCTTTCTGTAGATTGTGGTTGGCTCGTCAAATGGAAAACTTAGAATCATCAATATCAAAACAGGAAAGGTTATTCATGAATTCAAACCAGGTAAGGCTCAACTTCAATTTTAATTTCGTGTGTTTCCTTTTCAGTAGTTGATTCTCCCGTTACCATCATTGAACAATCTCCAATAGTCGATGTGTTAGCAATAGGATTTGCGAATGGAAAAGTTATATTATATGATATTCGATCAGCTGAACTGATTTGTAGCTTCAAGCATGATAGTGCTATCACTGCCATAGGCTTCAGGTAAACATCATACTCTCAAATGTTTTGTTAATAATTGCATTGTAGAACTGATGGAGAGCCTTTTTTGACTACAGGTGATCTGAATGGCAACATCGCTGTTTGGGATTTAGAAAAACGAGAACTCATTGGTAAAATTGCAAATGTTCATAAGAAGTCTATCACGCGTTTACATTTTCTTCCTTCTGAACCCATAATGGTATAATATCTGCGGTCGCTTTAACCTATTATTTTCTACTCAGATTTCTACTTCGGCAGACAATTCCATCAGAACATGGGTGTTAGATGGTATGGATGGAATGCCAAGACAATTGAATCTTCTGGAAGGACATTCAGATCCTATAACTGCTCTTAACTTTTCTAATAAAGAAGAGGTATCCCAACTACTTGTGGAGGAGAACATATGCGAGTGATTTATAGATCGTTTCCGCTAGTTTAGATGGATCTGTTCGGAAATCAAATGTGGCTAATCCAACCATGAGGCAGAAATTGGGTAACGCTGGTATCATGTCCAGGTAGTTCTGCGTTTTTTTTTGCATTTCATCGTTTTCTATTAAGAGCTCAAGCTAAATTGAAAAAGCGAGCACTTGATACAATTCTATTAGAGCCCGTTGTTGAAATCGCTTTTGGCTGGTGTAGGGAAGCTGCTTGGGATAATATACTGTGTCGTCATAGGTTGAATTTCTCTTTATTTCATTCAAACCACTTTCTTTATAGAGATACTCTGCTTGTTACCACGTGGACATCGAGAAAAAACTCACAAGGAACTCATAAAGTATTGCTTAATTAAAAAAATGTTTAGAAAATATGTTCTTCCTAGATTGCTCATAAACGTTTCACTGAGGTACCCTCTCTCTTCGATGCTGTCGCAACTGCGGTTGCCATTTCACCTTGTGGAAATTTCGGATACATAGGATACTCTACTGGACATATTGATCAGTACAATATTCAAAGTGCTCGTTTTATACAAACATTTATTGACCCTTCCTACAAGAATAGTGAAGACACTGTTAGTAATATTTTATTTCTCTGCTTATTTAGTATTTAAGGTAGCATTGAAAGGACACAATGCCGCCATCACATGCATATCGGTTGATACAAGAGGGGATGAAATTGTGACGGGTTGCAAGTCTGGAGAATTGAAGTTCTGGGAGGTGTGTTGAGCATGTTATTTCTTCAAATTTTTTTTGTCCCAGGTTTCTTCTGGAAAGTTGTCAACTATCATGAAATCGAAACTCTCGATTCAGTCTAGCTCACAATGTCCTACAAGCAGCTTGATTGCTGTTGCATGTCACAAGAAAAACAGCAAAGGTTTTTAATTTTTTCTGCTTCGATTTCATTCCATATGATTAGGCTCATCTGTGAGTATCATTGATACGATATGTCGCAAAATTGTCCGAACATTCAACTTACCTGGTGCTTTACCTTCTTCCGTTACCTTTAGTAGTGATGGTAGATGGCTCTTGACTGCCGATGATACAGGCTTGATAAGAGTAAGTGCAGTTTCCTCGTTTTAATTTTGTATTTTTAATTCTTCAAGGTTTGGGAGTTAGCTACATCTCAGCTAATTGATGTAATCCTTTCTGAAAGGAAATGCGTCGGTATGTCGTTTAATCCCACAGGAGAGTTTCTAGCTACAGTGCATGAGGTTTCGATCAAGTGTTTTTCATCCGTTATATATTCTTTAATTAGAATGATAATGCCATATATATCTGGGCTAATCAGATTCTCTTCTCATCTTTCGTTTCTGTGAAGGCTCTTCCTCTAGATTTCAAGCCAACATGGCCAGATTCATCTGTGGATTGTGTAAGTCATTAATTACATCTCTCCTTTTTGAATCAAAATCATTAAGCGAACACTAGATTTATACAGTAGTGATGAAGATGAAGAGGAAATGAGCATCGAGGTGTCTTCTAATGTGAGTACTTCAAAAAAGCAGTTCTTTCAAAAATTGAGTTCCAGTTCGATAAGGGTTTGGTGTCGTTCTCAGGCTTGAGTACTGCACGTTGGGCCAATCTATCGGATTTATCGTTGATCAAAGAACGAAATAAGCCGATAGAAGCACCAAAAAAACCAAAACAAGCTCCTTTCTTCCTTACTGCTGCTCCAACTTTGGAAGGCTTCGAATTTGATATAGCAGAAGAAGATGAAGAGGAGAAGCGAAAAACTGTTCAAGCAAAACGTAGTCTTCTCGAGATTGAAAGCTCTTTCAGTGCTGCTTTGAGAAAGTAAGACCATTATCTAATCATGATTAATCGTTTTGTTTCAGTGTTAGTGATGATTCCAAGTATTTGGAATTATTCGCAAAGTTGAAAGATATGTCGATTTCGACAATTGATTTCCAAATTCGTAGCTTACCAGCAAATGTTCTTCCGAACTTTTTCCGGATGATTTTAGAAGTTTTGAAAACAAATCAAGATTTCGATCTGGCCCAATCGTATATGGGAGCTGCAATCAGAATTCACAGGTTATTAATAGATCTGTTCTAGCTTAATTCAAAAATTCAGGAATTCCTTGTGGTCTGCCGGCGATGAAAGTTTGACTAAAGTTTTGGAAGAATTGTCCCTCGAGCAAGAAAAGGAATGGACTCCTTATGAGGAAATTTTAACTAATAACGCCTCTGTTGTTCAGTGGGTGAAAAACGCTCTTATATAATTTGTTATTGTTGTTTTTATGGTTTCTTGTTATTGTTTGTACTAGTTGTTACATGTGTTGTTGAAATGCGTAAAATTGTTTATTACATCATTGAAATTATTGTTATCCTTCTGTGTTGAGATGTCAAGCGGTTCTACTTGCACTTTCTCTTTTGGGAATTTTTCGAGTTGGCGCACTACCAGTGGGCATATTGGGGAGATCAATGTCGATTTGGGCAGGGAATGTGACATTTCCTCGGACTTGAAGCGATCGTGGCTGAGAATGAAATGAATATTAATGAAAACAGTAAATTTGCATTACCACTTGAAGCGTAAGTTCCCGGAGGCTTTCTACGTTGAGAACGACCTTAGGCTTTTTCTTCATGATGGAAAGCTGATTTTGTGGCTCCTCAGAACCTGATTGACGAATAACTTCGTACTCTGCATCAGGCTGATCACCGAGTAGGTTGTGTGACGTAGCTGGATTAATTGTAGCAATCTTACAAAATTTCATTGAATCGTGTTCATTTAGTTAATAATACCTCTGCTTGACCTTTAGTGTACATTGTGATGGGCCTGCTACGTGTAATCGGTCTCCGCTCTCGTCGATCATCTTCATGGACTTCCATCTGGTCAAATCCATGAACAATACGGATAGCTTCGTCAACTCCAAGTCTTTCAACAATGAGAATAACCTTAAAATGGTTAATAAATCTGATTGTTTCTAATGAGTTATTACTCTTTTGCCCAATCTTCTCCAGTTTAAAGTTGCTTGCCTTCGGGCACCAGCTTTGGTTTTGTCCGTTTTCTTGACAACCATCAAACCTCGTACTTCAGCTTCATCTTCTTGGCTGAATAAGTTTGAAAGTTCAAGATATTTAAATCCTTTTTCATTGCTTAAGACTTAAGACAACATCATAATTCTTTGAGAGAATTGCACTCTTCGTTCATTTTTCATTTTGCACTATGTTGATCATCTAGCGGTTGGTGAAAAGTTTGAAACTCACCTTTCCTGTAGTTTGATGCTATAGCTGAGCATGTGCTCCACAAGTTTCTTTGGGCTTATAGATCTTTCCAAAGTCATAATAATTTGAGCATACTGGATGATTATATGTTTGATGAAGAAGAAAAGGTTGAACTAACTTGTCGCCTCCAAGCCTTTTCAGCTTTTGCAATTACTGTTGTATAGGTGTTTCCCATCATGGCGATAAGAATGTTAATCATCATAATTGGCATCACGAACATATAAAGTACAAAGAGGATTTTAACGAAGGGTTCATAGTTTGCACAAGCCAGCTCTTCATACTGTAGTTGTTCATATTAGTGAAGAGAATTTTTGCAACGCCTTACATCATATCCTCCCATACTGGCACGGAAAAGTGTGATAAAGGTTTCCACTCTAGTAATGAAAGTATAGATACGATATCCAGTAACTTTGCATCTATTCAAATTCGGATCCATCAAATCTTGCTTGGCTGGCATATCAGCTCCCAAGAAATAAAAAACTGAAAAGCGAAGACGTTAACTTAGCATATGATGAATATTTCTTAACCAAACGAAAAAGGTAACAAGAAGATTGCAGATATGATACCGAAGAGGAACAAATCTCCAGCAACCATATTATAAATCATTTGAATAAAAGGACCAGTAAGACGAAAAACTCTTCAAAAGATAAGTTGAGAAAGCGTATGTGATAGAAAGAAAACCTGGCGAAAAATAGAAGATATAGGAATGCACCCGGAACAGCGAAAGCCAACAAAGCTTCTTCAACCTCGTACAATTGAGCTATGCGTAATGGAAGACAAAGTAAAATCATAAGGTTAGAGATTAAATAAATTCCTTTGGCTGGCGTTGTCATCTTGAATGTTGTGATTATGAATCAGGAGAAATGAAGAAACCTACCATATTTCTCCAATACGAAACAACCCCTTGAGCTTTAACTTCTAACGCTTGCTGCCAATAGAAGTATATTGTTAAAACATACGTCAAAGATTCAGTGACGAGACGAATCTAAATAATTCACGAGTAGAATACTATTTAAGGCTATGATTACGTAGTCATCATAACGTGGATTTTGGAAGAACAATCTGTCTGTTTCTGTAGGCCTCAAACCAGCTGATAAAGCAATCAAAATTAAATGGCTGATACAGATGACCATCCGCATGTACAATGCTCTCTTTAATAAACATCGTTTCGCTGAGATCAGTTTCGAAAATACCCGAGCAAAAGCTTGCCATTTGTCCTGAAGCAACCGATCTAGAACTTCGCTACCAATCATATCAAGATGTGCAGGGGTCCTCCCATTAATAACAATCATCAGAGCTGAGTCATAATCTGTTAGAAAGTGAATTGAATACGACATTAGTTAAGCCTCAAAACGAACTCGTTGATCCATCAAACTGGATTGTATCTAGTGTGTTTAATGGATAAGCGGAACACGTGGTGTCAGAAAATCTCCAGAATTCCTTAAAACAGAATATTTCTGAAAAGAGAATGGAAAACAAAGGTACATACCACTTTCGATAACTCTAACATCTGCTCGAAAATTTCTTTTCTACCCAGTTTTGCCGCTAAGGTGAGTGGGGTATGGCCGGCTTCGTTTACGACATCTCTATCAGCTGGAGACTGCCAATGACGGACGGCATAGGAATACATTGACTGAAAATATGAAACAATCAATAAATAAACAAATGTGATTTGTGAAACATACAATACTATTACTAATAACACACATATGTAAGATAGTGTTTCCAAAATAATCCCGATTATTAGGATCAGCATCATGTTGAATTAACATATCGTAGATATCTTTATTACCAAAACAAGCAGCGAAAGCAAGGGGATATTCTCCATAATAGGCCCAACCTTTCAAATTAAAACGTTTTATAACATATTACTCTGTTTCTACCTTGATAATCAGTTATTTTCTTTCCCTGATTAAAAGCTTCTGGTCTGAAAAAATCGCCACAAGCCCGTGCGTTAACATTGGCTCCACATTCCAGCAACAACTGAACGGTTTCATAGTCGTTATGCACAATCGCTAAGTGTAGAGCAGTTTGTCCTGAAGCATGAAAGATTTTTGAAATCCAGAGTTCTCCGCTTCCAGCTCTGACTGGAAGGAACTTTGAAAGAGTTCCTTGTATGCTTGTGAAGGCATGTGATCGCTTCAGGTGTTTATGAAACAAAAAAAAAACGAAAAAGACTAGAGAAGTTTTCGGAAATATTTTTTGACATGTTTTTCATTTAAGATAACGAATAACAAACCAAAATTCTCATTCCCCAAGTATATATCATCACAGAGTCCCGGATATTTTTTGAGAAGAATACGTGCTATCTCATGACAAACCTCTTGATCTCTTTAAAAATGAAGAATGTTAACGAAAAAAGAATTAGAAATACCGGTTTAGTAACAAATGAATGATATTCTCTCCCTTTACTCCACGTTTATTCAATTTCCATAAGGCTTTATGCTCTAAAAACCTCGTTTCAAAGCTTTCAGAATCATCTTCCGAGATTCCCAGTTCCAGGTTCTAATAAGTGACAACGGTTGGAAGTAGTGATACTACAGAGAAACTTACGGATGCTTTTCTCCATTTTATGTAGTCGTTGACGGTTACCACATGAGGTCCATTAAGACCTTCATCAAAGAGCATGGGCGCAATTTTTTCTTCTGCGAACTTGATGATTCCTTCTTCACCATCTTTTTCATAGATGGTTATCATATCACCTCCTGAATTGTTTTGATATGTGAAATGAAAAAATTGATCTGAGGACTAACCATTCTTCAGGCCTACCCAACGGTAGATGTTGTTCTTTTCCATTTCTCGATACAGGTTGCTCCATTTTTCGTCTGGATCAAACTGTTTAACTTGATTAGATTTTGAGTTGAACTTGAGTTTAACTACAACCCCTCCCATGATTGATGAGAGACTTCCTTAAACAGTTGAATTGATAATGTGAATAGTGTGAATGCTTCAAAAAACGAAGAGTTATACGGAAAGATTGAGACAAGAAAAGGCGAATAGCCAGATTTCTATAGAAGGCGATGGAAAAATGAAATTTTCAAGTCAGACCTTTCTCTCAGTCTCTCTTCTTTTTCCAGTCTTCATCGCAAATAAAAGAAATTTAGAAATAAAATGTAAAGAAAAAAGCTAAAAAACAACAAATTCTTCTTATAATCGAAAATTGGCGGCTGTAAAAGGGAAGGAGAAGAGGAAAGGAGAAAAGAAAAATACCAGAGACATGCTGAGATACGCAGAATATGCGTATGGACGGGACAGGTGATTAATAGAAAACTTAATTATTTTATTCAATATCCATACTATATAATACATGGTTAGCTACAGAGATACTAATATGGAAAGAGAGACATATAGATTGAGAAATGCACACTTTCGAGAAAAAAGCAATTTCTTCGTATGTCCCACGGCAATTTCTTGAAGCAAATTAATGGATTTTCAGTCGTTGTATTAGTTATGTTCTATTGCTAAGCAACATTGATATTGATATGGTTGAAAATGGACAAAACGTAGCCTACAATAAAACAAAAATTTTGTAACTTCCCCCCCCCCCTTTCTCAGCCCATTCGTTTCGTCCGATTGTTGAATAGATGAGAAGAGCTATGAGATGTTGTTCTTCTCTCATCTGCTTGTGATTCTTCATTTCAATTCGAATTTTTGAAAACTCAAATATTTATATTCAAATAAAGGATTTATTTCAAGGAACAACAAACGAATTGCCTATGTTTTCGGGAAAAGTTCTTCGAGCAAGTTTCATCCCAGGATGCTTGCTTTTGCTGATGCGCAGTTGTATGTGTTAAGGTCAATAACCGCCTTTCCTTCCTTGAGCAAGCACTTGAACTCCTTATCAGAGCATTTCTACAACCATTCAATTATTTTTTTTGTTGAAACAAATTCAAACTCACATCTTTGATTTGCATACAAATGTTATCAATGAATTTTCGTTTGACTTCGCTCAATAAATGTCCAATTCCAACATTGCATTGTTGAATTTGTGTTTTCTTGTTCTTTCTAGCCGTTTCAACTTTCTTGCACATCTTTTGTTTTCAAATGATAAATGTAATTCATAAGAAATCCAATAAACTCACTGGATTATATATTTTCGTGAGTTCTGGTTGAAGGAGGCTTGCAACTTTCGCGGAAACGATCATAGTAGAGGACAATCCAGTTATCATACAAGTTTCTACTATAATTATCCATATTACTTATTAAATTCCATTATTACAAACGTTTGGCTACCATGCCAAAAGCGCTCTCCATAATATCTCCGAAATTGTCGGATAAACATGAGATGCAGGCTGAAATCCAGATAAGAGAAACTGAGGTTAAGAGGGGCATGCGAGATATTACCTGAACCAAACGCCATCATATCGGGACACTCAGCAACATGAGGACACATGCATGTCAAAAACTAATACGAGAACTACAATTGGAAAGGATTGAATGTATAAACATACCTTGGATATCTGAGGTCTCGTCAATATTTTCACATCCAAATTGACAACTCGTTTAATGAAATTTTCTCTGTTTTGTTGAGCATTGGCTGTTAGAAGAAGGAAAGAGTAGAAAAGAATAATAAAAAATCTCATTCTTTCGATTGTTTCATCAAACAATTCTTACAAATGAGTTATTGAAACGTATAAGTTTCAATTTTTAGTCTGAAATTCTTCATCCGGATGAAATGATTATCGACGTGGATTAATCACATCGGATTATCTCAACATACTTCCGTTTTTTAAAAACAAAAGTGATTTCAATAAATGACGAAGAGATTCGTTTCTTATATGGAAAAGGTTCAAAGAAATTCAAACTCCGTTGGCGTTTCAATCTAATTTCCACGCATTTCACGTGTAGTTGTCATAAAAACTTCATTTCGTATTATGCAACGACGATAAGCGGTTGATTTCATGTTTTCCTTCCTGTCAAACTCTTGAAATTCAATTTTCGAGAAAATTCATTGAAAAATACTTCTATAATTACTTTGAATTGACTCAAAGTTCAAGCATTTAATAACAAACTGTTATGAAATAGAAAGTGCAAAGATCGTTTGGGTACGCAAACCTGAAACAGTACTGTTACAGTTTGATATTCAGAAAATCGTTTATGACTTTAACGCTCAAAGCTTGTTTGATGTTTAAGAAAGAATTTTTTTCAACTATTCATAGACGCAACGCTTTAATTGGTTTCACTTAGAGCGTTTTTATGAATAAGCCCTTTCATCACGAACGGTCACGGATAGTACCTATATAAGCTGCGAAGCTTCAGTTAGAATCATCAACTCATTCCTTTCTTCAAATCATTGAATCTGTTTTCAACTAATCAACTGATACTATTTCAGATGGGCTTCAGCACTATCGCTTCCGCCGCTTCCCTTGTTATCGTTTTCGGTGCTTTCATTAGCATCGGACGCATTGTCTATGACATCAACAACATGTACGACGATGTGATGGATCGTATGTCCGATTTCAAGGTTTTGAAATCTTAAATATCTGAAAACAGTTAATTGTTTAGAATGTCGCCGATGTCGCCTGGAGAGAGGTTGTTATCAAATCCAGACCAACTGAAACTATCTCCTTCAACACTTTAATCGGTTTGTGGAACTCATGATAGTTGAACAATCCGCATTCATTTCTTAGGAAGACATAAGCGTAGCAACGATCAGTGCAACTGTGGAGCTCAATCTCAAGGATGCCCTGCTGGACCACCAGGACCACCAGGAGATGATGGAAATCCAGGAGCTCCAGGACTTGATGGTGAACAGGGTGCTCCAGGAATTGGAGGAGCTCAACTCATCTTCGGAGAAGAGGTAAATACGAGACAATTTTTCAGGAAGCTAACCGAATCGTTCAGATTTCTAAGGCTTGCATCGTCTGCCCAGCTGGACCACCAGGACCACCAGGACCAGTAGGACCCGCCGGAGATGCTGGATCTGACGGTATCCCAGGAGCCGCTGGAGAGCCAGGAAACCCAGGACGCGACGGAGAAGCTGGAGAGCCAGGATTTGATGGAAGACCTGGTGCCCCAGGACAATCAGGAGAGCCAGGAGTTGCAGGAGAACCAGGAGTCCAATACTCTCAGGGACAACCAGGAAGACCAGGACATCCAGGACAACGCGGACCAGCTGGACCAGCCGGACAAAACGGAAACGATGGATCTGATGGTCAACCAGGAAACCAAGGACCAGCCGGAGAACGCGGACAAGATGCCCTTCCAGGATCTGAGGGTCGTCCAGGAACTCCAGGAGTTGACGGAGAGCTCGGACCTGATGCTGGATACTGTCCATGCCCAGCCCGTACCTTCATGGCTTAAAGATTTACAAATTCTTTTTGAATTCATTGTTTTCAATCGAATAATAAAAGAGTTTTCTATACAAAGTGTTGTGTTGTATTGAAAATGAAGCAAAAGAAGGAATTACATCACAATATTTCAATCATAATCTCATAAGCATTTCAGAATATAGAAAAAACAAGAACTTTGCAAAAACTGATATTGAAGAAGCAATGGTATGAACGAAGAAGGAGATACTGTTTGCGAGACAGACGTCTTGCATTCGGCTCCCTCTCAAGCTTAACCTTTCAATTCAGCAATAAGAGACTCAGTTATTATTTTATCATTTCATTTATCATAAATTTCACCATTTTGGTGTATGCTACCTACTTAATATAACTCTTCCAATTGTTTTCTGAACAATATGCAAACGTCATCAGCAACATTCAAACCTCTCTTTATGTCTCATTTGAATATTTTTTGCAATAAATCTCTCTACTTTTCCGAAAACTCTCTCTCTTGGTCTTGCTTTTATTCTATTTTTCTCTCTTTGAATCTTTTTTCTTAAATTTTATCTCAAAATCTTTCGTCATCACCCACACAGACAACTCTCGTCTTACTCCCTCCTACTCCTCCTCCCCCCTCACTCTCTCCATCCCTAGCCATCCATAGCAATAGTTTTCAATAACTTATCTATCTCTCATCAACTCATTTTTTTTGAAAAATGAAATATTCTTAAAGGACTCTCTTAGGTTTTGAGAATAGTAATAAACGCATCTTCTTTAATATTTTTTTAATTTGCTTATAATAACTCTCTCTCTTTCTCTCTCTCTGAATGGGACAAATATTCAATTACTTTCCAGCATCGTCCAGCATATGCTCTCTCTCTCGCTATCTCAACCATTCTCAACTTTTCTCAAAAAGTTCATCAGGTTATGAAAAATTTATTTTAAATATTTAAAAATGTAATCCTTCTACTGACACTTATGCAATCAGTAAAGTTTTTCTTTGATTTTTTTTATTTCATAAATTAAAAAAGTAATTTAACACATTTCTTCCACGCACATTCATATGTACATAGATGTACATATAAGGAAGCATTTGTCTTTTCTTTGATTTCACGCTCTTTAATGAAACTTTATATTCAACCTTTTAACATTTACTCTTTACATATCTTCTTTCTTCTGGGAATGGCGACCTTATTTTTTGAACTAAAAGCTTTTAAATAAATAAGAATTTAACTAATTACCATTTAAGGAACGCAAACAGAGAGAGTAGGTGAGTAAGTAATTGAGGGTGGATGGATAAACGAGTCAACCGTCTGCTGCTCATGCAATTCATCAAATAAACTTGGCTCAGCACACCTCACGCAATATCTACGTCATTCACGCTCTGCCACGTGTATTCTTATACAACGGCATTCAGCTTCCTCTCTTTCGTCACTTTTCTAATTTATATTTTGCTTATCCACCATGTATTTCAGAGAGCAATAGTGCTTGTGACATTTTTCTTCATCTTTTTTTTTTGTTGGACAAAAATAAAAATGTCCAAAATATGGTGTGAAACCCAAAGTTGAGAGGGTCTTATAAATCCGAAACAGTAAGATATTGATGTTGAGATGATCTCTGCTTATAACGTTGTGCGAAAAGCGATGAAGTCCAATTACGTTTTCTAAAATGAAAATAATATTGAACAAAAGAGAAAAGAAAGCTGAGAGAATCCCTGATTTCTACCATACTGCTTTTGCAAGACGAAAAATAAAGAAAACTTAGGAAATCTATATTGTTAACATTATTTCTCAAGCATAATGCGGGCAGGTGTAGTAAAAGCTTAAAAAAGCCTCCTCATTGTTATGAAGCTCATGAAAGCTTTCAATAGAGAGTGAAAGTTGAACCAGTAAAGTTAGTTTGAACCAATTAAGCCGCTAACTATACTTCTATGACTTAATACGTTATGAGTTAGTAAAAATTATTTTTTTTTCGCTCATTGACCTTCTAAAGACAGATGTTATGATGATTTCATATATTAATTATACAAATTATAAAATTCGAACCAACGCAAACGACGCATAATCATCAAAAAACAGTTGCAACTTGAAAAATTTTGAAAATCGGGGAGCAGACCTCGATTTGCAACCCGCAAGGTTTGTGGTTCGTATAAGAACCGTTTTTTCTTTGAAGTAGTTGAAGCGAAAAATAGTTTGACAACTTCATTCTTTTCAAGAACACAACTTCTTCATCACAGTCATCACTATGGTAGAAAAAAGAAAATATTTTTTTTTCTTTTTCGCCGAGCTTAAACTGGCAGGCATACTCATGATCCGCCTAATCTCCGTACCTCCCCTTTTCCTTTTCTATTTAGCTTTCATTATGTTCGTTTTCTTTACTTCCTACTATCTTCTTGTTTTATATTCATTTCATTGTATTTGAAGTAATTTAAGTTTCTTCTTCAAATGAAGTTATTCAGCCGCTTGAGACAACGCGAATAAACTTTTTCTCATTTTGTATACAAAAGGATATATCGTCAACATGTATTCTACAATAGAAATTTGATCTGTGTTCTAGCTTAACACTTAATCAGCTTGACCAAATTTTCCGTTATAAACCAATGATCTTTTTTGTTATTCTTTTGAAACATTTCAGTCTTTTCCCCCCCCCCCCCCAATCCTTCTCTCTCTTCTCTTCAGTTCTATCCTATTTGTATCTCCTTTTGTGAGAGTGAGAGCCAAGATCGTAACGAGTAATCTCCATAGATAGTTTCTTTATAACTTACTGAGCTTGTTTATGAAATTTAGCACTTTAAGCCATCCATATATCAAATGTTTTTCTTTTTACGTCACATGTACTTATTGAAGATCATATTAATAGAATTCGTAGGATCGATCCTCGCATCCTCTTCTCTTCCATGTTAATAGCTAATTGAATAATGCTTGTATTACAGGTGATGAAGTGGCAATTTGCTATATTCGTTTTGATGGCTTCTACAGTTTTTCTTGATTCAACTCAAGCTACGAATAGGTTTGTGTGAACATCTTTCTTATCTTATATCTCAAAAGCCTCTCCCTCATCATCATATAAAACAGAACAGGTTGATTCATTTTTTTTATTTGAAGTGGTGTTGGAATTGGAATGCTGGAAGGTCGATTTCCGGGTAACTGCTTTTTTTCTCCGATGGGCTGTGTTTTCATACCCAATCGCCAACTTATGCGAGCACGACGATTACTACGAGAAGCTCAAAAGAAAAGCATAGATAACTTTATTTGAATACTTCATTAAATGTTGGATGTTATTTGTTATTTATCTTTATTTATATTTAACAAAAGTACCAAAAATATGAAATACATCAAGAGTTGTCATAACTTACATGGGTCTCAGTGATAGAATGAAATTTAAATCGTTTTTCTTTGTTTTTTCTTTTATTTCAATGCAAGAGTATTAGTTTCCACACGCAATGGAGGTGCGCCTCATAATTCAAAACGAAAACGAAAATTTATTTTTTCCATCTGAGACGTTACGTATGTTGAACCTTATCAAAGGATTGGAGAAATCTGAGCTTATTAATGATGCAATCAAAGCTCTAAGTTTGAAATGACATTACTAGTTGAACCATCTTCCACTATAATTCATTAGTTGTCCATCGTCGATGAAGGTAAAAAATGATGAGAGTGGAACGTATCGAATGGATTTTGGTCAGCAGAACGGTTACCGCTGAAATTCTCGTGAGAACGAGTGAATAGTCTTGAAGGAACTCTTGATGCAGAGAAATGGAAGAAAAATTTGACTGAAAAAGTTAACTTCTTATTTTGAAACAGGTTGGTTTTACTGGTATTTAAAGCGGTCGCCACTTCATGGAATCATCATCAATCGTTCCCATCTCCTTGTTTCTTTCAAAACTTCATTTTCATTCTGAAAATTGTTTTACAGAATGTCCTTCTTCGTTGGTTCGGCTTCTGCCGGCACCATTTTGGTTGTCGTCGGTGCTTTCGTCGCCATCAACATGATCGTCAATGACATGAACAATCTCCAAGACGAGATGAAGCAAGATATGGAGCGATTCAAGAACGTTGCTGACGATACCTGGTCTCGTGTTATGGGATCTGACACCGGAAGCTCTTCCGTCCCAATGCTTTTCGGACGCAAGAAGAGATCTACCGGAGGATTCGAACAATGTAACTGTGGATTCCAACCAACTGCTTGCCCTGATGGACCACCAGGTTATTAAATATACTAATTTGTAATGTACGGAAGTTTTTTACAGGACCCCCAGGAGATGATGGACATCCAGGAAACAACGGACAAGACGGAGAATCAGGAAGACCAGGACGTCCAGGATATGCTCCACCAGTCCAATACCACCCACGTCGTCACGGATGCATCCGTTGCCCAGCTGGACCACCAGGAGCTCCAGGATCTCAAGGACCACGTGGATTGCCAGGACCATCAGGAAACCCAGGATCTTCAGGATCTGCTGGATCCCCAGGACGTGACGGACAACCAGGATCCTCTGGATCACCAGGAGAGCCAGGACACCCAGGACGTGACGGACAACCAGGAACTGCTGGACAACCAGGAACCGCCTACAGACCAGGAGCACCAGGAGCCCCAGGATCTAACGGAGAACGTGGACCATCTGGACCAGCTGGACAACCAGGAAGAGATGGAAACGATGGAGGTTCTGGAGAAGCTGGACCAGCTGGACAACCAGGATTCCCAGGAGGACCAGGACGCGATGGAAACCCAGGAGAGCCAGGATCCGACGGATCTGCCGGACCAGATGCTGGATACTGTCCATGTCCAAACAGATCTTTCCTTCTCTAAGTCCAACCATGAAGAGGAATTTCAAAATAAAGAGCATTCTAATCCCTTGTTTATTCTTATTTCATAGCTTCATATTATTGATTGGTATACAGAAACAAAGTGTGAAAAAAAAGCATTTATTTCTAGGTTTTGAGAAAACTATTCAAGATTCAAGAAGAGCCTTTGAATCAGTTGATTTTGACTGGATTGGCTTCTTTGGCCTCCTTCTATAAAAAAAAAGATTATTAATGCTATTTTTGATCATCACTAACGGTCTCTTCGACAGCGACCTGCTCTTCAACTTTGATTTCCTCAGTCTTGGCTTCAGCGGTTCCCTTAACTTCCTCAGCTGGCTTAGCCTTAAAGATGTTAAATGAAGTCCGGACATATAGAGATAATCTGAATTACCTCCTCGGTCTTAACATTGATACGGAGGATAGTGCAGTGAAGTTCATTCTTCTCGTGGGTGCAGTAGTCATCAACATTGGCGATGAAGTTGAATGGCTTGGTGCTGCAGGTGATGATGTAATCATGGATATCTCCAATAGATCCCTTGATGGCTTTAAGAGAGAGTTCTTCATCGGATTTCATGTTCTAAAAAGGCAGGATATTATAATATTTTTGATTAGTTTCATATGCTCACATTCAAAAGGATTTGACGGAGTTCTTCGCTGTTGCATTTGGAGGTGTCTTCGTGAGAGATAATGTTAGCGGCCTCTCTCTTCTTGCGTCCACCGCATCCTCCTCCGCAACCTAGAACTTCCTTCTTAAGATTGAATATCAAGCCAATTCTGTACCTCCTCCGCAGCTTGGTGGTGGTGGTGGTGGGGCTCCGCATCCTCCTCCGCATCCTGTAAAATACAAAGTAGAAAATATTCCTGCACTAAATGCGTTACCTCCTCCACCTCCTCCGCAGCTTGGGGCTGGAGCTCCTCCGCATCCTATAAGATTATACCTAGGCAAGTTTTTGACTTTACACGCTTACCTCCTCCACATCCTCCTGATGAGCCTCCTCCGCATCCTATAAGACTATACTTGAACAATTTTTTAATTTTACACGCTTACCTCCTCCACATCCTCCTGATGAGCCTCCTCCGCATCCTATAAGATTATACCTGGGCAAGTTTTCAATTTTAAACGCTTACCTCCTCCACATCCTCCAGATGAACCTCCTCCGCATCCTCCTCCTAAAAAAAATTGAGTATTGAGTTTATAAATTTTTTTTACCGCAGCTTGGTGCTGGTGGTGGGCATGGTGGTGGGCATGGTGGTGGGCATGGTGGTGGGCAAGGTGGTGGGCATGGTGGTGCGCAAGATTGCTGTTGTTGGCATCCACATCCACTATCTCCTCCTCCCATAGGGAAGAGGAAGGCAGTAGCAACACCGAAGAAGCAAAGAGTAACGAAGACTTGTCTCATTCTAAAAAAAGATAGCATAATTGCAAGCCAACAAAATATAAATAGTTAAGAACTGTTGAGAGAAGAAATTGAGCTGAGTGTTCATCCGCTTTTCAACGCTTCCACTAGGCCTTATATAGTCGTTGACAAGTAAGCTAACACAAACTGGTTAATAATCAAAGCCCGTTGCTTTACAAGCTATGCATAACAGGCAAAATAAACCAGATCCCATACGGTTCTATCATTCATGACTCATTAAAGAAAACTATACATGCTATTCACTTTGATATCCTTAAGCTTAGTAAAACCTTTGGGTACTGATGATTATACTCATTTTGACCATGTGGGAAAATCAAAGGAAAATCAGAAAACACTGCACTGAGAGCAAAAACAATTCAGATTTCAGCCTAATTCGCTCTTTGTTCAAATCAGCTTATGTCCAGCATTTCTAACTGATTTTGAGTATTTCTTTTCTGTGAACAGTTGGTCAATTTTCTCACTTGTTCCGGATAATTCTTAGTTTATTTTCTGCTTTTACTATTTTCCATAACTTTCTGCTAGACATAAATTCCTTGTTATTCATCTTTACATGATGTAGATGAAGCGACGATAAGAAATCTCGTTTGCGGATAATTATAACAAACTTTGGTGATCCCAACTGATAATATTATTAATCATACAAAAACAAGTTAAAATATTTCAATTGCATAACACTATTATGCCCAAAGTGGTATTTCGTGAGTCACTTTTTCCAGAAGATCATCTGCAGGAGAACATTCACCACAAGTACAAGTTGGCTTTCCTTCAACCATAGAGCATTCACCACTTACACAATGCTTTAACAAGGAAGTTTTTAAGTACAAAAAACGTTGAAAAACATCTTACCTTTTCTGTGCAAGCTGTTAAACAAGCTTTATTGGCCAAGTCTATAGATGTGACCATATTCAGACAAGCCATAGAAGATAATGACGAGGCACTCATTAACGAAAATACTGAACAAGTAATGAAAAAGGATAAGACCAAATTTCTGGGGAACATTATTGGTGAACAGCAAGAAGGTTAATGAGCCAGGTAGGAGCTCGATTTGCTTTAAAAGGCTTGTTTGATTTGAAATCATTGTCCAGTTTTCTTCTCTTTACTCTAAAGATTTTCATCTAATTCTATTGTTCATCAACAGTCATCTTCCATTTGCACAAAACTAAGCGAAAAGCTTTTACATTAAAAACTCAGATTAAACCTTTTTCATATTATTTTTATTTTAAAATGTTACATTGATCATTCTCTTCTTTGTTTCGCTGCTGGCGTGAACAAAAAATTCTAAACGTTAACGTTTTGTGTAAAAATTTCATAAAATCCGTTCTTCTGCCATTTTCAAATTGACTTGTTGGGATGAACTTCCGTTATATCATATATAGTAAGCTTATTATATGACACAGTTATCTTATTCGTAATTCTATATAGTTATAAGCACGTTAACCATATCATTAGTTTATGCCCTCCGATTAGCTTTTCACTCAACTATTCTTTGTCAATACAAATCCAATGACACAGGTAATCTGGATATATGTATTCCAAACCAACTAACTTCATAATTAAAGCAAGTTTCCTTTCCGATCCACAATTACGAGGTTGGACATTCTCCTCTGTATCAATCGGATTACTGTTAGGAACCATTCCATTGACGTTCATGAACCGTTTAGGAACAAAGTATGTTTTAACTCATGATCGTATGACCTTATCTTCAGTCTCTTTCGTACTTAACTGTTCATACGACGACATATGACCTTCCCTACCCGTTTTATAAGCTTTATATAGACCTAGCTTATTTAAGGAAGGTTCTCGCCATTTATGTTCTGACGGGATGTTTTTCATCATTTTTGTACCCATGGAGTCATGCGTTAGGCTTTCTACCTTCGTTCATCATCCGTACAATCCAAGTATTTGACTTGCTTAGTCGTTTGCTTCTAATTCTCGTTCATAAGGGCATGCCAGGAGCAATCATATTATGGGCAATTAATAATATATCTATGGAATGGGCTCCAAAGTCTGAATTGGGTTTCGCTATTGCAGTTTTATCATCCATATACCAGGTTTTCAGATCTTACAGTTTTAAAAACAAAAAAACCAGATATCTCCAATATTGGCTATGGTAGTTGCGGGAGAAATGTGCACAACCTTTGGATGGGAATTCACTTACTATGGTCTGAGCTTCGCAACTTTCATCTCGTTAACACTATTTCTCATTGTTTATGACGATGACTTTAGAAAAAGCAGGTTTTGTGTCATTTTTTTTTATTTCTTACTCTGCTGTAGGTATCTTGATCAACAAGAAAAGGAATACATCTCTCTCGGTAAAATAGTGAAGAAGGAAACGGAAAATGAAAGCATTCCATTCTCGCAAGTCTTTAGAGATCCTCAGGTTCATAATACTCTAACTTGTAATGCTGAGATTATATGTATGCAGGCGTGGCTTGTATGGTACATGTACTTTTCGTTCTTCACCGGGATGTACATATTTCTTCAATATGGACCTATTTACATAAACATGGTCTTAAAATACGATATAAGGAGCACCGGCTACGCCGCAGCTCTTCCACATCTTATATCATTAGCTTTGAAAATTTTTTATGGCAATTCAACTGATGACTTATGTGGATTAGGTATGAGAGTTCGAATGTTTTTGATGTTCGCATTGGTTGAACTCATATCCGCCTTCTGTCTGCTGTCACTCATATTCGTATGTTTCATCCAGAATACAGAATTTCATATAAGTTTTCAGACTACATCTGATTTTTACAGCTTATTCATTTATGTCCTTTTCAATACTGCAAATAGCCTCGCAGTTATCGTTATAATGAAACAAATACAGCTCGTAATCAGAAAATATAATTTCATTAAACGAAAACGTACCCTTTCAGATTTCTAGCCAGCATTCTCACTTTTTAGCAAACGGAAACACCTTCATTGTTGCCATCTGCATATTCTGTGCTCCTTTTGTAGTTAACTTCATTGTTTCCGAAAACACAGCTAGTCAGGTACAAATATAATTCTTTCAAACAAAATTGTTGTTTTCTCATAGTGGACAATGTTGTTCAGCGGTATCTCAGCTCAATTGATTTCATCTGTTGTTGCTTACGGACTGTTCGGAAAGACAAAACCATCAACGTGGACAGAGTTATCATCACTCTCACAAGAAATGAAATGATCAGACATCTTTATTTCTGAATATTAACTTAATGAAGTATGATAGAATGAAAGCTATAATGATCAACTGAAGGAACAACCGGTATCTGTAGCTGCTAAATCAAAGAATGATCTCAACGACAAAGTTCCACGTGATATGTGTTATAAACGCTTATGCTAATGAGAGGCGCTTTGGCCACATGTTCACCAATGCTTTTCTTAAATGACTTCCGGAAATGCAATATATCCAACACTTTGAATATCGAAAGAGAGGTGCGATTGTCATCAGTATGTTAGCAACCAAAGAGTTCAATCTGAGATGAAAGACATTGAAAAATTAAGAGAGGAAACTATTAACTCTTTCGTCGTAATTGAATTATAAATAATAGTTTGAATTATCAAGCAGCTACTAAGAATAATAAAATTGGCTGCAACTCGCAAATTTGAAACTTTACCCAATCTTGGCTGCTGAAAGATGATTGAAGAAGATAGAGTCAATGAAATCGCAAGATGCGCAGACATACTTGCACTTTAGTGATGGATGTCGTCATTCGATTGGAACCGTTAGAGTTAAAGGAATTGACCTGAACTCTATTCTTCCGTTTGCAAAACTTCATGAAAATGAATACATCTGTAGCTACCAATGTGATCAAAGTGACAATCTGGGGTAGATGAATTAATATAAATGTTGATGGATTGCTATACCTGTGTTCCATAGTTGTTGATAGATCTAAACTTCATGACAAACGTATTTGGGTTTGTTACCCATCTACTTTCCACTTTATCATAATCAAAACCACTCTTTGGTATGATCAAATGTATACAACCAATAAGAACAGCAATAATCAAAATAATAATTATAAAACGATCTAACTGCTGCGTTCGAATCTCAAAAAGACTCATAAGCTATCTTAATATTTGTTTCGTTGAACCTTGAAATAGAAAGGTGCATGATAGAGCGCGATATAGTGAGAGAGAGCCATGCAAATGAGAAGATATAATTCAGCAAACCATGTTGCACTACCAATGATGTGAAATATTATATCATAAGGAGGCTCTAATCGATTAAACAGTTTAAACATCTACAACACTCACAGGTGTATGAACTCACTCACAACCGGTGCGCCAATAATATCAGATGGATAATTGTAAGCACATTGCTTACTCAAATCTAATATATTAGCTATGAATATGACGCTCAAAATACGAAATGTTGGGCTTTCACGTAGAAGAAGATTTCGAGAAATAGCCACACAAACTAGTATATTACTGAACAGACAGAAGAGAGACAAAATATAGCGTATGATGAAAAATACTTCCATCTGAAAATAGAATTATAACTTAATTCTAAACGATATATTAAGAATGAAAAAAGGGGTGTGGAGAAGAGTATATCATTATGCAACCGTTCTCACCACAATTAAAAACCGAATAAAAATCTTCATGCAGATGAGGTGGAATACTAATTTTCACGTGTGTCTGAGAATGTAATATCTTAATACTAATTCTTTGTCATAAGTCATGCTATTCCTTGAGCATGAGACTATGTTATCAATCATAAGGAAAGTGTGAAAGTTGGTTGAACATGACAACTTTCTCATCAAGGTTCTCATCGAAAAGTTTTAAATGATCATCTCTGAGAAGCATTACTGACCAAGAATGACTTTTCCTTATCAGAGAGCAAAGAATTGCAATGAGGAAAATTAAAAGAATTTGTTTCTTTGTTAAATGAAAAAATAGTTTATTATATGAAATAACAATCAAATAGAAATATACATGGCAATAGTACACAATAAATTAATTATAAAGGCACAGTCCAAGGTGTGTAGGCGCCTGCTTCAGGCAGTTTTGGAATCTGAGCATATGTTTCGGTCAACATAGTAAATTGTGTTCATTTTACCTTTTTCAAATATTCATCTTCACAGGATAATCTGATATTCTCAGCTGTTGCTGGTGAGTCGAAGCGGAAATAGCCGTCTAGGCCTTGATCTTTTCGATATGCTTTTATAGCTTCCCGAATGGCAAAATATGTGCAAGCACCAAGGAAAAGGGGTGGTTCACCGATTGCCTGACACATACTCGGTTCATCATACAAACTACTCTGAACAAACCTTTGAAGAGAAGATTGCCTTCTTATTGCTGCTACCTCTCAGGAGACTAACATTGAAGTGCTTCGGAGCATCGTCGGCGGAAGGAATTTTATAATTTCCAGGTCCTCGAGTGAGACGGGTTCCATCAGGACGAACACGTAGCTCTTCCATTGTGAATAAACCGTAACCCTGAGCGCTTTTTGATTCACTTTACAAAAGCACAATAACTCACTTGAACAAAAGCTCCTTCGATTTGACCTATATCGATGGCTGGATTCAACGAATCACCTACGTCCATCACGATATCTGTTCTGAGAAGCTAAAAATGAAAAATCGGTAAACAGTTTAATCTCTAGGTTAACCTTATGATCTCCTGTCAAGCAATCTACTTCAACCTCACAGCAAGCTGTTCCATATACGCAGTAACTGAACAGTTCCGCACCCTTTCCTGTTCTGAAGTCAACAGCTTCATAAGGCAAGCTGAAAAAAATTACTGTTTTGTCGTGCTAAATCAGAAACAAACATTCCATATCCAACTGCCGAAAGGGAAACACGTTCCATATAAGCATGATGAATCCACTGTTCCCACGTCCAATCAGGGTGTTCCTTCTTGATCGGTTCAAGTCGTTCGTTTATTTGATTGCAAGCATCCTGTACATCATGAGTGACCTTTTCTTTGGATATCTTTCTACCTGGACAGCTAAACCATTCATATCCGATCCAACTGAGGCTGCGGTAGCCGAAGCATTGGGAACTTTATCTGTGGCGCTTTCATGAATATGTACTTTCTCGAATGGAATATCCAAACATCTAGCAGCAATCTATACTCGATAACAAAAATGAAAATTGACTTTCGAATCATTTTACTTGTAAAATCTTTGTGTGTAAACCTTGTCCCATTTCCATTCCACCATGACTAATTAGAACGGATCCATCAGAATATATTAGAACAAGTGCTGTTGCCTTAACACTTCCTGATATTTCCCGTTGAGAATTTATTTTCTCACCTGATTCAGATGTTTAATACCAAAACCAATTCCAAAACGAGTCGGCATGAGAAATATTCCTTTTTTTATTAATTTGTTTTTGCTAAGATTGAAAATGTTTGAGAGCAAACTAAAGATAAAACCTGTTGAAAATATCAACATCTTTCCGTCTTTCTACGAAGTTCGAAAATTCCTTACACTCATACCAAGTACGTTTTATATTGCACTGGCTGAGGGTCATTCCGAAAGGAGTTTTCTCTCCCTCTTCGTAAAAGTTTTTCTCCCTCAGCTGAAATCCATAAATTAAACAAAATAATACTGTGTGTTCTGACCTCTACATGATCAATGTTATATGTCTCGGATAAGTGTTGCATCAGAGTTTCGGCACAGAACATACCTTGTGGTCCTCCAAAACCTCTGCAACAAATTAGTCAAAGTCGGGAAAAAATAATATTTACCTGAAGGCTGTATTAGATGCTATGTTAGTTTTCATACAAAATCCTTCAATATCAGCATTAGCAAACTTGTAACAGTTGTCAATATGGACCATACAACGGTCTGAATCATAAATAGCCATAGCTATATGAAAAGGCAATCAACTAACGCATGACTCCAACTGTTAAGTCGAAAGTGTGACCAGAATTTGAGTAAGCTTTCACATCATAATCTATTAGCTTATCGTTATCATCCAATGCAACCTAAAGTTTAAAAATATTACTGGTTTTCTAGCCAGTAAACCTTATAATTGAAACGGAAAGGATGTCTGTTTCCAGTAATAGCCATATCATCGAAACGTTCCAGCTTCACTCGCACGGGTTGGCGGAATCTGGAGAGTATGGGCATAAACGAATATAAAATTTAATTTATTTCTTTTCACTAACTTTTGAGCAGCAATCGCTGCAGGAGCCGATAAGATAGCTGTTGTACTTTCCTTTCCTCCGAAACCGCCACCGATTCTACGAACACGAGCAGTAATCTTATGAGCTGGGATTCCTAATATTTTAGCAGTTTCCATCTGAAACACATTGATTAACATGAGTTTATATTTAATTCTGTACTTGAACATCATTTACTCCTTGTGTACTGGCTATTATCTCCAGCTCCTCGTCTTCATGTGGAATCACAATACATTGAGCAGTTTCCAAGTAGAAATGCTCCTGAATTTATTTTCAGTAAATATATACATCATAATGATAATAATATTACTTGTCCTCCCATTTTCACTTCTCCTTCCACTGTACGTTTATACGAGCTCCAATTATTTACTTTCACCTCGTCTCCTTGGAGAAGAGATGAATGGACTATGAAGGATGGACATAAAACAGAGTTTGCTTCTAATGCATCCTAATTATCATAAATTACTTCTGATTTTATAGCTTGAGTATCACCTCTATAGTCACAACAGCTTTTTCTCTAGTGGTTTGTACTTTTACTTTGTTTGCTGCTCTTCTAGCTGTCTCATGGTCTTTAGCAAGTATGGCTGCTATTGGTTGGCAATGATAGGAAATCTGATAGAATAGTTTTGGAGACACGAATATTTAAATACTTGGCTTTCAACAAAAACTGGAGTATCGTTCACGTGTCCTAGTCGAGCTCCGGAACGAACGTCTTTATAGTCGATATATCCGACAACTCCTTCCATCTGAATAGCATCCGAATAGTCGACAGAGTCAAGCTGCCCTTTGGCGATTGGAGATAAAACAAAAGCCATGTGTAAACAATCTAAAAACATGCATAGTTGTTTTTTTACTTTGCTCTTACCAGGTATATTCAAGTCGTCACAGTATTTTGCTTCTCCAGTAACATGTCTTTCTCCCGAAACATGTTGTAGAGGGCGACCGACGGGATCATGAGAAGGCTGAGTATCGCTAACTTCCTAAACATGCAGAATGTAATTTTATTCCCAGTGGGATGAATGAATACGTTGAAGAGCTGTGTTGCTTCCAAATTTGTCGTGGTCGGTTTTTTCACAAAAGTTCCATTCTTCTTTTGAATTACTTCGTCATGGAATTTTACGAAGAACGAAAGAGTTAGAGCAGATCTATATCTAGACATCCCTCCTGGAACTCCAGGTGGTAACCGGAACTCTTGTGCTAACGACTCTAGAGCCAATTCCGAAGCTTCTGACCACTTCCTTAAAAGAAATCCATAGAGAACAAGAATAGTTTGACTATATGCTTACACTCCTTTCAATAACTCCATAGTTTTCAGAGCAAGTACAGTCGTAGGAGCCATACCACCAAATGAAATTCTAATATCGTCAATAACATCAGAATTGGGGACAAATTTGACATTGAAAGCTCCCGTTACAATAGCAATATCGTCTTCCCTTCTTTGCGCTTGTTTATAAGCAGCAAAAAATGAATTCTGAAGTTTATTATGAAGCTTCATTTACAACCAACAAATACCTTTTCTGTATATGGAACCCAAATAGCCTTCACTATTTCATCAGTTGCTATTACGGTTTTTCTGTAGCCCAAAAAGAACTTTTCATCAATTGGCATTGTACGAACTCCTCGTTCTTCGCTTTCCAACACAACCTAATATAATAAAAGTATTCTCGATGAAAGCTAATACAGCCTTTTGTGATAAATATTTTTTTCAGAGTAAAAAGTTTGATAAATTTTAAAATTTCGAGTTACCTGTGCATTGGCAGCCATCCAAACAGGATTAAGATCAGAAATCGGAGAAGCCGTCGCAATATTACCCGCAATACTCTATATAGTAACATGTTTAATCTTGTAACAAGCAAGAAGCTTACAGCAACATTCCTGACGTGTTTACCAGCAAACCAATGCATCATCTCGTGTACGGCTTTGAAAACACCCGTTTTCTCATCTGATTTTGAAAATTGATAGAGCACTAATTTAAGACCCTACCAGGTAATGTTTTTGAGTAATCATAGAGAACGGTATCCATTTCTGTTAAACTAAGTCCAGTACCGAGATAAACGCCTCTCTCCTCTTCTTTTTTAATTTCATGTAACTCTGTCACCTTTGAAACATGTGCTCTTATTTGTTCATATTGAAATATTAATACCTGTCGAGGATTAATAACCATTTTCAAATCAATAAATCTGAATTTCAATTCAATTGCTAACTCAGAATTTCCAGATATGATACGAGCGTGTGGATGAAGTCTCTTCAGTGTTAAAAGTTTTTTCAAACAAGTCGGCTGGTACCAAATAGTTTCATGATGTGTGTAGGCGAAAGTGGCAGCATGGAAGTTGCCAACCTCAAAAAAAACTGAATTGAGCAAGTCCTTGTTATCATTCTTACTTTCAATTCCGGTGGGAATATCAATTCTTGTGTTGCATCATATGGAGAACATTTTGTTAAATCTGTTAATTTGCCTACCTGAGTATTAAATGATAAGATAATGTCAAAAACGTATCAATTCGTAGAGAAATGAAAGCTCAGAACTAACCTTCTCCCTTTTGATTTCCTTAATTCCTACATCATGGTTTGAAACAAAACCATTTTTGCCATTCTGAAACAAAGTTATCAATGAAACTTGTGCAAGCGCTTTCACGTACAACTTTTTTGACTTTACAGCAGTTTTCTCCCATACCACAGCCGGTTTCTTGAATCTTCAACGTTCATTTGTTTTATTTTTCAGATTTTTGATCTTACTTTCAGTTCATCATTCTCAGATACGGAGAAACTATAAAAAGCTTCAAGAATAGGTCGATATCCGGTACATCTGCACAAATTTCCTGAAAAAAGTTTTTAATATTTCAATAAAACTGTTTGATATAGTACCTTGCATTGCTTCGAGAATTTCATCCTCACTTGGCTTAGGATTGTTTCTTATCAGAGCATACATAGCCATTACAAATCCAGGAGTGCAGAAACCACATTGAGAACCATGTGCTCTTTAAAGTAAAGTTCGAGAAAATACTTATGAAAATGTAAACTTCGAAAGCCGTTCTTGGACAGGGTGTAGCTTTTTGCTGACTACTGATCCCAATCCTTCTACTGTAGTGACAGCTTTTCCAAACACTCCACAAATGGGCATCAGGCAAGCGTTCGCTGAGTAATGTCTAATGAAACATTCTAGATTTGCTCGATATGAAGTCTCGAGTTACCGCAAGTTTCCAGAAAACGGCTCGATCTCGCTTATCATAACAGTACAAGCCCCACATCCTCCTTCATTACATCCAATTTTAGTTCCAGTCAATTTGACTATAAAAGAAAGAGTGAAAATGATCGAGACAGCACAATTATCTTATCAATCCAATCATATGCTTACAAATTCATGAATGGGTTTTCGTTTTTTGTTGCATCGTGTGAATACTTGAATGAAGTGGTTGGATTAAAACATTTTGTGAAAAGAATAAAATATTTGAAACATACGATGATCACGCAAGTAGACTGCTAAAGTTGTTTTTGGATCAATATTCGATTCCTCATATCGTTTGCCATTAACATAAAGAATCAATTGGTTATAATCATATGAAGACAATTGGTCAACGCTGTTTATCATTTTGAAATATCTGTAATAAAGTTATATTAATAATAATAGCATATTGTAATTGCTAAATGAAAAATAATAGAGAAAAGAACAAGTGTAAAGGAAAGGTCATGAGAATGATGCCCAGAGTTGATTGATGAAAATAATTTCTTTTTTCAACCCTAACAGCTACAAATTGCTTAACGAATATCTGACATTCAGTAGAAGTGTTACCAAACCATTGTTCAAACAAATGAAAATTCAAAAGTTTCTAAATAGAGGATATCAAACGATTAGATAGTAATATCAAAAACAAGTGAGATATGACGGATTTGATCATCAACTCCTTTCATCACGTGTTCATTCGATAACGATAACGGTCAGGAAATCTGTTGCATTAAAGAGAAAAACAAGTGAGAAAAGAAAGACTGAGTGTGTCTTAATGGCAAAGAGATTAAAATATCAACCGCTCAATGTGAAATTCAGAATACAAACGAAACTTATTTTTCCACGTGGATTCCACGTAAGAAAACGCCTTCACATGATGAAAAGTGTCATTGAGCGTACTTGGAACCAAATATATGTGATACTGAGAGATGAAAATAGAAAGTATAAAGAGAAGCTACAGAGAGAGAGAGAGAGAGAGAGCAGCGAAAGAAAGAAAGATGAGACTAAGTTCGTTTTCTATCATATTTGGCTGATTCAGGTACAGCGTCTGGTAAACGCGTGGGAGAGGGAGATTGTCATAGAAGGTTGTACACTTTACTTGTTTGCAATAGTAAAACCATTCGTTGATTCCAGCTAGATTGAGAGCAGTAAATATCATTATAATGACAATCCTTGATATAGTGCTAGAGTTGATAACACTTGGAATTTTCATTGTGCTTGAATAAGTGGGCGGATCGCAATGGTTGATTTGTTTAAAAATCAGAATGAAAAAGAAAAAATATAGCAAACGAAGGTGTTTATTAGATCATTTTCATAAATACAAACTGTCAATGATAAGCACAAATATGAAAGAGGGGATTTGATTGTAATGAGAAGATATGCAGGTGATATGTAATGTCTAACCGTATCCTCTGATGTGAACAATATTTATGAGAACTTGTGAAATAAAAACTGAGATTGAGATTTCTGTAGAGATTCTGGATTTAAGCTTCATACAGTCGTTTCGTCCTGTTGTTTAGATGGATCATTCAGAAACAAATTCAACCGTATCTCAGCATCTCGGATATATGAACCTGTCTCTGACATTGTATCATTCTCCAACATGGTTGATGATCCAACAGATCTGTCAACTTCATCAATAAGATTTCGGAATAATGAGCGTTGAATAGTGGGATTTTTCTTTTTGTCTAATATTCTAGAGCTTAAATCTACTGATTCCGGTCTCTCAAATACTTCAGCGGCTGTTTTATCCTTTCCAGCATATGTCAAATTAGTTATTGAACTGTAACATAAATTATGAACATAATTATTTCTTTATGAACATACCGTTGACCTTCCTTATTAGCAAATGTGTTTATGCAAATTCCAGGCAATTCTGATGTTGTTTTACTTGAACTTGTACTAGGTGGAACTTCCGCGAATGAGGAACGACATGATGTTTGAGGTTTCGTGTTCTCTAACTCATTCGTGTTCTGAACATAACATGTAAAATGGAATTTTCAAGAATCTTACCGTTCCCATAAAGTCTGATTTTGATTTTAAGTATGGAGATAAGATGTTGAGGCCTAGAGCGCTTTTGGCTGGAGAATCCTGACAGAACACTTTATGAGAAATCTCTGTATAATATCCTTTTGGCTCTTTATTCAGTTCAACACCGAAATCTCTGATAGTCATCGGAGGTTTTGTTGAAGGCGGTAGCATTGCTTTTAGTATTGGCTTTATTGCTATATCAGGGGCTGATTGAGATGGCTGAGTCCGACTTTTTGTTGTTTTTTGAATTTCTTCGGTTCTAGTCTTCTCAATTATCAATTGCTCGCGGAATCGAGGCTCCTGCGCTGAATCAGCACTGCGGCTATCAATAACATCATCAATTAATGTTGTTTTCGGCTGATACGTAGTTCCATTTTCATTTCGCACTTCTCTGAAAAAGATGTGATCAATAGTCATGTAAGAGGTGTCTTTTTCATTTCTATTGAGAGTGAGTATGAAGCGGTATTCAACAAAGATCATTTCAATAAACTTACGAATGTTTAAAACTCTTAGTGATTGAAGGGATTGTTGCTGTGGAAGAGAAGGTCGTCGACTGGATGGGTGGGGTTATTGCTGAAACCAATAACATGAACGCAAACTTGCTTCGAGAGCACTCAACCTTTCTTTTTTTCATCAAAACTTATAAAAGAAGCACGTGAACGAGCACGAATAGAGTTCGGTTCCAAATATGTGTCAGGACCGATCTCCTCATAAACTTCGTCGTACACTACACCTCTCTTACCATTCCTACAACACATTATTATACATATGAATAGTATATAATTAAACGCACGATGAATAGGACGACACAGCCATTGATCCGGGACATGGAAGGTACTCATACGTGGAATCTTCATAAGATTTTCGAGCCGATTGTGGGGTTTTCAAAGCTGATTTCAATGGTTTTGATGGCAACGGTAATGTGGGAACATCAAAGTTAGCTATATCGCTGTTCATCATTTCCTTTGTTCTTTGAGTATCCAAGGTAACGACAGAGCCTTTAAAGAGGAGAAACTATCATGTAGAGCAGCTATGACATACCTGTACGGGTACTTTCTGTTATATTTGAGTTTGATGTGAATAGATCAAGGTTCGATCTGTTAAGCTGTCGTTGTTTTTGTTTATCTTCTTTGCGTTGTTTTTTGGTGAAGTTTGGTACCGACGCTGTGCGTTTGAAAGTGCTCTGAAGGTATGAGAAGCGTTTTCTGAATAAGTTACTGAAATAACAAACCATTTCATTGCTCTGCCCTGAAGAGTGAGCATTGCGGAGATATTCTCTCTCGAACTGTCTGAGTGACTGAGAATCAACTCGATAAATAGCCGAAAATGAACGTTTGAATGGCTGAATGGATGAGTTGGAGTTCAAGAGCATTGATTCGTCTCCTTCCACAACCTGAATCAAGAGAAATTTGAATGAATTAAGCATGCTTTTATAGTTTACTTCTATTTTCACAAGTTTTGCGCCACGGTTCTTTCCCAACGAAACAGAAGTAACACAACATCCGAGGATAGAGGACAACCAGTGAAGAATGGCTCCAACAACTTGAAAATGAAAGGCCCAACCGAGAGTTTGCTAGATAAAGATTGAATAAGCTCAGATGCAGTTCCTACTCACCTCGTAGATTGTATCTTCTTCTTCTTTTATAACCTTATTATCTTGATAATTGGCCCACATATAGAAGACTATGAGACCAACAGTGGAAAGAATCGCTTGAAAACAACGGATGTTACAGAAGAAATGTTTGTTCACACCTACCCGATATAGTAACTAAAACTGTAGAGGCACATATGAATGTTCTATGGCAGAATGAGCAAATTCCAAGAAGACTTGAAGTTGCTGAGAAACAAACGGCAACACCTATTGCAGCTAATGCAGCAACCTTCCATCCTGAGATAATAAACTGTATGGTGTCAGAGTAATGATCAAGTTACCTAGAAAGAGATGCTGATATGCATCGTTCTGCAATCGGTTCTCGTCATGGTTATGATCGTACAAATCTTCTGGATCGATATAATAGTCAAATTTATAAACACATTGTAATGGAGGAAGGAAAAACATCTCAAAAGGAGATCCCTGCATGTCTCGCCTATTGATTAAAGTATGATTGGTGTTAAATCATATCAAACTACCTATATAAAGTTTCGTAATATTCTCTCGTTCGACCATAATCAAAGGAATAATCTCTCTTACAATCTAACCATAGTCCGTGATGATGCTCTGTACGACCATTCTGACAACAAGGATGATTATTGGATTTCTCACGAAACTTTACAAACCTCCAAATTTGCATATTGCCAAGAAGGAGAAAGAAGAGATACTAATGAAAATAGGAAAGCAACTAATGATATGGCAAAAAATATTGAGAGAGCTGTCTTTCGGCCGCATTTTGAACTAGCCATCTATCTCATCTGCAACGAGGTCCATGTTAATCATATACATAGAGTAACAAAACAAGTTATTGAAATAATATTATATAACACGCAAAACCGTTAGTTTGTATAGCTAAGAAGGGATGGGACATTTCGTTTTGATATAAGATGCCGGCTGTTCTATTACGATGTCAACCATTTATTCGTCAAGGTCTAGGGAGTCGTATGGAAGCGAAAATTTGAAATTTCATGGTCAGTCCCTCCCCGAAACGAATAGTCACCTATCGATCCTGATCGATAGAATGGGAAACCCCCCGTATCTTCATACGCATATTTCCTCTCATACGCAATGTCCGAAAACAGAAGAATTCCTATTACTTAATGCATCATACATAGCAGCATTTCTAGAAATTCATGTGCGAAGCTCAGTATAAGACTCAAGTTCAATGAATCAGTGGAAGCTTGATCTTATCGACTCTTTGACGGCTCAAAAAAGAAAAACAGAAAATATAACGGAGAAAACATTTCAACAAATGTAAATATATAAGTTATATAGGAACGTTAATGCTTAGCATGTGAATTGTGTCAAGACATTTACATAATAGTCGCCTTGTATTAACAGCCTACGGGTGTCTTCCACCTGTCTGTCGCAAAAGGCCAATATTATTATGTTTCATCTCTCTTCGTTCTATCTTACCTCTAGAGCACAGTTCTACATCTCTAACGACCTCTCCATAGCCTATTCAAGTCACACACTAGCTTTCCTCTTCGTTGACCTATTTCCATTTCCAACTTATTGGCAATTTATCTCTCTAGAGAAACAAATTTATGCAAAATATAATGCACTTCAAACAAAATTTACAAACTGAAGCAAAAAGATAACTGTAATAACTTATTTGAACCTAAATGATACAATAACCTGAAGTGACCACCATGAAGTGGATAGGATGAGGTACCACCATGATACCATGACGCATGAACTCAGAGGTCAACATCATTCCCTCCCAGAACTGAACCGTTCCAGAACACTAACGTCTTGTGAATATTTGTTTTTTAACTTTTCAAACTCTCTTTGTATGTTCTTGTCGGCAGAGCATCACAAGTGTGAACAGTGCTGACATAACAAATGAGCATATAAGGTAATATTAGATGTTTTCTTAACGAAGCTCTTGTTTTGAAAACAAATACATCTCCGAAAAACACGAGCAGGAGATTTCGTAAACGTGAGCATCTCCTGGGCTTTCAATTAGCTGAATTGAATCCAGAAATGATTCTCTTCCATGAGAATTTAACATGAGCACTTGAAGAAACTTAAACCAGGTGATCATGCCGTAAAACTCAATGAGTAGTTTATTTTTCATTCTTCTGATATAAATCAAGAATGAGTTTTCATTGTTCCTAAGCGGTAGCTGTCAGCTTCATACCCCGCACATGACACTGCCAGTAAGCAGATGACTTCAGCTTAGTCAAATGAGCATATTACTTTATAGCTGGTTTTCATCAATGTTTAATTTGATGGATGTAACAATAACACAAAAACCCAATGGAACATCTTCTGCTGTATTAGAAGTCTATGATTCATTTAGTTCATAACGAGTGACTCTGAACTTCTTCATGATGCTCTTTAAATCAGTCTCTCTCAAGGTAGTCGTACTGTTATCTTACCGCTTCGTGGATGTCCAGTGCTACCAACTGGGTCATAGAGCCACTTTTTCTCAAAAAATGATAGTTGAGTCGTTCAGAGTTTGGAGCTTGTGAATGTCTAGAAATGACATAAAAGAGCTGAAAACTGAAATCGGCTAAAAGTTGGCTAGATCTGATCTATACTACGATACTGATAATGACAAATCTCATTGCACAAAATGCTTCTTGCTGTTAACCATCTTCTCTTTATTGATGTACATAGAGAGAAAGTCTATTACATTTTTTGTAAGCTTCGTATGGCAGGGAATGGGCTGCAACTTCTAAACAAGGAGGACTCGGCTCAGGGCACGAGAAATCGATTTTCAGCCGTCGTCGTCCGTTTTCCTCCATCTCCATACATACATTTTGCGTTTTGCTCTAGAAACGTTGTGCGCTCACAAGATTTCTTTCCATTTTCTCAATTTACATATTATGATAATATATTTACAATAAAAACAAAGCAACTGCTCCCTTTCTTATCCCAACCGTTAGAAATAATTACTCGACGCTGCTCCCAATCAATTTGTGCTTCTCTGTGGAGACTGAATAATTTTCTACAAATGCTTAGTGATTTTCTGAAGAATTCCCAAGAAACTCAAAATAACTAATGACTGAAGAAGCTAGACACAGCTCATAATCGAATGCATAGTCACGGAAGCTTAAACGTTGAGAATATTGAAGCGAGCCTAAGCTTCAACTAGACGCCAGCTTCCCAATATTGGGTTTTCCACGTTGGAAAAAGAAAGATCTTTTCTCCCAGAATTTCATCGTATTTCCCGTTTTCCATCATGAATGCAAAGTATTTATAATACAATATATATTTCCTTTGTATTTGTTATGATTGAAATCTGAACGTCAGAAGCAAACCGACTCACTCTGTCATTCATTGTGCTCATACTGAAGACTTCAATTTGCTTCGATCGAGCTTCATTCAAAGCTAGTTGCTCATCCTGTCTGAACTGAGAGAATAGTGAAACGAATTATGCAAAATGACAAAAAAAAATTTTGTCTGCTCGCCATTTATCAAACAATGTTCCGCTCAAGAACAGAAGAGTAACTTCGAAGCTGAAACAGAATGCAATTCGATTGAAAGAAACTTTTTTCGCCAAAATCATTAAATTTTTTGCTCATTGATCACATTCGCAAATACTCTTCTTTTTGAAAAAAAAAAGTTTTTATAGCATGAAGAGGATGAAGATGAGATGTTTGATTGCAAAACACTTTTTTATGCAAAACAAAGCAGTTCGACTTTGAAAAACAACAATTTTTAATCTTTCACTTTACAGGACAATGACTAAAGAAGTTATTTTCCTTTATTTTTGTGGATGAACGTTTTGAGACACTTTTTTTGTAAAGTTGGAAGGCTTTTGATGGTATACTTGATTCCTTTTTCATCAAAATTTTCCAGTTTTTATCATTTCCTTTTGATTGCACTGTGGAATAGAATGTAGGCAATGATGGCGTTGAACGTATATTTTCATAAAATAATTTTGAAAAAGGAAACAAAGGAATAGAAAGCGAAAATCTTTTTCTCCTTCCTACTCTATTCTATTCGAAGTTGAAAAAGGGAGTTCGAGTAACTACTACTAGGTTGTATATTCGTAAACAACGTGCACTATTGATTTGCTCATTTTCATATTTTTCGTGTCTCCATCTCTAACTATTATTAATCAATAGTCGATATAGTACTATAAGACCTCTCGTTCCATGATATTAGAGCAATTTTCGTATTTTTACACTTATTTTAGCTAATTTGACACAACTTTCACGCATTCTCTTTGAGATTTCTGTCATTTTCACGAATTATTTCAAATCATTTATCACTTTTTCTGAAACTTTCCATCATATGATGTTTCATATTGATTCTTTTCTCTTTCTAAAAGGTAAATATGGTGCTTTTTTGAATATTATTCTTCAAATGATTCTATTAAATTGCTTTTACAATTCCCTTGTTGCTAAGGCTTTCACGTGAAGTTTGCACGTGGGAATGTTCACATCATTTTGACTTACGCTGACGCTCTGAGTGGTTGCTTCTCAAACGAACATCCAATTACAGAGGTCCATTTGTGCTTCATTCAACTTATTCCTTCATATTTTCGTTCTTGTCTCTTTCAGTCGAAAAAAAAATCTTGTTTGAGCCTTTTCTCTGAATTGTTTAACATATGAATGACTAAGAAGCAAGAGAGGCTGTTCTAAGCTTATTTAGTTATTAAGCCTTTTCCAAATCGGTTGAAGCCTTATGCTTTGAAGTTTGTAGCTCAAAGTGCTGTCATAAGTAATATCTTTTTTTCTTATTTATACGTTCAATATATAAAATGAATGATAAAAAGAAGATCGTTTTCCTAGCAAATATAGCTAAAAAATGAAATTGAGGTCGTTTAAAGACTCGTGTATTTACATTTCTTTCTAAAATACATATTATATCTCTGAGTAAGGAGTGCCATCAAGTACAGATGAGCAAACGTTTATCTTCTATCTCTGATTCATATTCGCAACTTCGCAGTTTACTTCGATTTACACCAAAAAATGCTTTTTTTCTTTCTGAAAAAGTCTTGCTGTCTAGATGATCGAGAATCGCCTAACAAAGCTATCAGAGCATGCTCTGTCATTATGTTTTTTGAGCTATCCTTTCCGCTTCAACCTCTTTCCCTCCCACTCTTTATAAGTATCTCTCTCATAGTCATATTCTCTCAATATGTACTCTCTAACATTCATTTATGTTCACTTCATCATTATCTCTTTTACTCTGTTTCTTTTCATTCTGTGTCCATCAGATGTGAGATTATGAATCTAAATCAGGATGCTAACTAGAGGGAATTTATACAAGTATTAGTCAACGGATTTAGTTATTATATCTATTTAATAGACAGATGAATCTGATAATACAGCAAATTACAAATCATAGTTTTCATTTTTATCAATTTTTATCTTATCAAACATCTCTTTCTCAGATACAAAATCTCTCTCTCTCTCTTTCTCTCACTCTCTCTCTCTCTCTCTTTAACCCCACTCTCTCTTTTCCATCCTTTCTCTTTTACTTTTTTGTCTTCGGTTGTGAGCGCCAAAAGAATCTTCTTTTTTGTTCGTTCGAGATGGCTCCAAACGAAATCAACGCCACGTTTTCTGAAATAGCTTCAATAAAATCCAAATGCTCTCCAAATTCAGGATTGTAAAACTAGTAAGCCATGAAAGTCGTTCGCTAACAACAACTTAGATATGAAAGTTACAACCAAGAAATCTTCTCGTATATACAACTCAATTGAGACTTCTCAAAGAATTATTTAATTTACAAATCTCTTCAGCAACCTCTCTTCGAGCCTTTTCTCCACTCGTATATCGTTATCCTCGTTTTTCTCACATATTGCTAGCAAAAAACTTGCGAATCAAGAAAGTGAACGGTGGTTTTCTGATCAGCTGTCCCCACGATTTCCTCAAAAAGCGAAAGATTCAGAGAGGGAGAGGAGAAAGTTTGACAAGTCATACTATTTCCTTGTTCTTCTGCTTCTAGAGCTTCGTTTTCTAACAGATTTTCACTTTTTTCTATTCTCCTCTTAGATTCTCTATGGTTTCGAACGTCTCTCTCATTTTCCCTCTCTTCTCGTCTACTTTCCTTCATCCATCTGTCTGTGTGTCTGAAGCCGAGCCAATCTCCTCCCCTTCTCTCATTTTTCTCCCCTTTTCCTCATTTTTCTTCTGTTCCAACGTTTTGTCCTTCAAGTGCTCAAGCTTTATCTTTTTCATTTTTAATTACTATACTAAGAATAATTCTATCGAAAATCAAAAAGTGTAAGGTATGCATAGTATAGGGGTCCATCATGAGTAACCAAAGAGGAGCATTCCAGGAAACGAACAGATAATCAGTCGAACATTCAATCAATACTCCTTTATTATCAACGTTGTTATTGAGTGGTATAGTGTGATTATATGATTATTAATTCTTCCAATAAAACGCGATTGAAGAAAGGTTTATCTTATCTTCTTTTTCTCTTTTTCTTTCGTTCTCTTTCTATTTATTTTCAAGTTCTGACCAGTCAATTTGATAAAAGAGTAGCTCATCCCAGCCGAATATTCCTTTTTCATATTTTTCTGTGTTTTTCCATAAAAGCCTAATTATGAATTTCTCTATTTTCGTCTCTTCTTTAATCTTCTTTCTATTACGATTCTTCCATTTTTCTCTCAATAATCGCCTTTTTCATTAAATTTACTTGTTTATATAATGATTTTAGGCTTTGGTATGGCGCCGACCCGTTGTGCTCACAAGCTGAGTGCCAACAAACAGCAAGAGAGGGTCGATAATCTTATGAGTTTTCTTAAAACGGCCACCTGTCAGCAGGTTATTAACTGAACAATTTAAACGAAAAATAAGATTCCATCACATTCATTGAAATTCTCATGTGTTTTTCGTCACTCTAAAGCTTGACTTCCGCTTCAACAAGTCGTTCATAGCATTTTTTCACGCAATCCATGCGTAAAACATTTGTAAATCTTATCGTTTTGCCATATTAGGAAAAGAATTGATAAAATGGATTAAAGTTCCAACATGAATTGAAGAAGAAATTTGTTTAAAATAAAGATTTTTTTAAAATATAGATGTCTACGAAATTACGGGATGTATGGGCTGTTCCTCAATCAACCATAACCGAAGCTCGTTTGCTGCTGACCTTAGGTATATGAGCAGTATGTTCAACACTCCTAATCATACCTTATTAGGAGCTGATCCATCTTGTTTGTATGAGGATGATTATGGAGAAGTCACATTACAAAATAGAGTTGATAGTGGTAGTGTCTGCAAGGATTGTAAAGCTAAATTTGATACCTTCTTACTTCATTCCATAATTATTTATGAGCACATGTGTGAACAGGTAATTGATGTTTTTCTTTCATCCCACTTTTCAAACTAAAAAATGTTGTTTTCTTTTGTGGTTTTTTTAAATATTTTATTCCTACAAACAAACAACAATGCAACATGTGTTTGAGGAGAGACAGTTTTCGAAAAAAAAAGTGGAACATCTGCTGCTTCTTTGATAATCGTACTTCCCTCTCTCTTTCTCAAGCTTCTCATTCTTCTGAAATCTAAATTGAAAATCTCCATTGCAGACTCCTATCCAAATACCGCGAGATGGAAAAAAAACGAACGGAAGCGGCTTATTGCCATTATGCCTCGATGGTGGTGGGATGAGAGGACTTGTTTCTGTTGTGAGTACTTTGTATCAACTATTTCATTTCATGTGTTACATCTAAGGTATGTCTTCTGTTCTCATCAAGACGAATTTTGGGTGATGAATCGTTGGTGAACTACTTCGATTGGTTTATCGGCACGAGGTCTGTCAAGGAAATAGAATTATTTTCAATTTATTATCTTCTTTCAGTACGGGTTCTATGTTAGCTTTATCTACTGCCAAAGGTCTATCACTTAGCCAATGCTTCTACTTGTATTGGGAAATGAAAAGACAAATATTTTTAGAGGGATCTACCATGTCCCGTCTTTTGGGAGATCAAGTAACTCCTTTGACACGTATTGATCCTCAACTGTTTGCCTTTAGGTTACTATACAAACTAAAAATATCGAGACAGTTTTATCAGAATGCTTTCCATCTGAAACATTCCATAGTTGTAATCGTCGTTTAACAGTACCAGCACTAGACATTTCTATCCAGCCAGCTAGACTACATATCTTTAGGTTTACTTCAGCCCCTTGTCTTAATCAATTTTTCATTCATCCAGGAATTATTCCTTCGTGACGCCTTTTGGTTATCCTCTAAGTGATGAACAAGATATTTACTTTAAAGATGCCGCTCGAGCTAGCAGGTTTGTTCTAGGAGCTTAAAATCAATTTCGGTATCAAGTTCCAAGTTCAATTTCTTATGTTTCAGTGCTGCCCCTACTTACTTCGAGCCATTTTCTTATAACAGCAAAAAATATGTGGACGGGTCATTTGTAGCTAATTACCCACTCAATATCTTATTTAAAGTAATATTCTTGTCAGTTTAATATTTTATTCATATCATTCAGGAATTCGATTCCTTCCGCAAGCACAGAAATCCAATCACACTAGCTGGTGTGGTCTCTATTGGAACGGGTGAACCTGAAGTCTCAGAGAGAAAGTACAAAAGCGGGACAACATGGAAATCAAAAGCCAAAAACATCACTCATCTCAGTACCTTAATCTTAGAACAGGTTTGCAATAATCTACAGAGCTTAACAATCATTTATCCACGTCTGCTAATTAATTGCATTTTGTTTTCAATTGTAAGATCATTAATTTTTATCTTCAGGTTGTTGGGCAAGATTTAACAGCTGTTGAAATGGCTCAAGAAAGATGCCTAGCTCATAATATTCCTTTCGTGAGAATTAGTCCAAAGGTATGTAAAAAGTGATAACTATGCTTCAATGCTAACAGTAATGTATATAACAATCGCAAAAATCATTTTGATCTCTGATTTACTATGAAGCGGTTGTTATCTCTGTGCTCACAACATTGTAAACGACTTCAGTTTCTAAAATTTTTTTTTAGGGGATCAACGTGAGAATCGATCAAATCGATGATGGTAAACTCATGGACATGATTTGGACAAGCTTGTTATGGCTTGTAAGTGTTTCCAATTCTTTTTGTTGTTCATTGGTTCTGTTTGCAGGTCGACAATGTACGAGAAGTTGATAAACTTGGCGAATTGGTCTTTAAGCTACATGCTGTACCAGATGAGCGTAAAAGACGTAGCAATACGGTTTTATAATTTATATGTTCATATTCAAAGTCCATAAAATCACTTAAATGGGTGTGTTATTGATTGGATGCAAAAGTTCAAAAGCTTTCTTCCGATTCGAAGTATTCCATATTTCACATAGATTTCTATACTTCCTTGTTATTTCGTTCGCATTGTATAGATAAGAATTTTAAATAATTGAAAAGCAAAGCTTGCGCTTGAAAGAAATCCTTCTATTATTATTGTGCTGGTAATTACGTTCGTTCCTTCTGTTCTCTACTCCTATCATGATCTAGCTTTTAATCTAGTCCCCATCCTTATCCTTTTTTAAAAGTAACGCCACCCCACCCTACAGGTTCTAGAAGACATTTGCTCTTTAGTCCGTTATCTAGAAGTTAGTGCAAAATCAGCTTGGTGCTGCTACTGTCGCTAGGCTTTTCAGAACCCTCATTGAGCAACCCTCATGTATTTATATTTTTCAAACGTTTGAAGAACCCGAGTGACTGTATTTACTTGTCTCCTGTATAGTTTTTCACCCGATAGCTTTTCTGGCTGTGATAATCAAGGAAAAATGAATAGGAATGTTTATAACTTATTTGAAAGCCTATTATAAGTTTCTTGTTGAAAGAGTTAGCTACATAAATACAAAATATTAACAGAAATCCAACATAAAATACAACACAGATTAGGAAAACAGCATGAAGAGCACTTTATCCTCAACACATGAAAGAAAGAAAGTTGAAAGTGAAGAGATGAGTAAAGAAAAGCAAATTATAGAATGGCAATTATTAGGCATAAGAAGCTTAAAATGATCAAATCACTGGTGCGTGAACAACCCGAGAAGAATATACGAATCACAGAACAACTTTACATATTAAATATGATATAAAAATTTAAGAAAAATCAAAAATACCCGTACCGACTAGGAATTACCCTGTGTCTATTATATAGTTGAGATATTTGTCAATTATGGCACTACATTCTTTCCCGGGGCATTAAACGGCTGTTTGAATTATATCCTAAACCCAAGGTAGATCCATCGTATTCAGTTCTTCCACAATCCAGTTCCATAACATTCAGCATTTCTTGAAGTCTTCCAGGCAATCTACTAGCTTGAGCATGATCGTTCTGTTCCAAAGCCTCCATTATGGAATCCTAACAAACAAAAACCTGATGTCACCAGAATAATTTTGATTGTACCTTATATTGATCTAGATATTTATATAATTCGTTCAAAGCTGAATAAACATGGAACTGTCCACGATGGTTACGAGATTCTTCCAGCAAGAGATTGCTCATATCCTGATCAGAAATAGGTTGCATTCGCGATATCTCAGTGTAATAGCTAGGAAAAAAAAAGAATTAGAAAGAAAGTTTCTCTCGAAGTTCGAACCTATCGACCCAGTCTCTGTATTGATACATATCTTTCGCGAACAATAACTTGCTTGAAGGAGAGTCTTTTGTTAATTGATGATCTTGAGTTGAACAAGCGTCCATAAGAGTTTGAGCAACAACAGACAAGCATCCTTCGACCTGTAACGATGAATCAACATTTTTTCGTTTGCGTGATATGAAAGATACCTTTGTTGGCTTCTGGATGTCGAAAACGAAATGAGGATTCTTGATTAAATTAACCCAGAATCTCAATGGCAGAGCATTACTTTTCCAAGCATGTACAACCTCAGGATCGGATATGCCATGCTCCAAAGCCTGCTCGTCCATAAAATCAAACATGTACTTTATGGCCGCAGGTAATGGAGATGATCGTGAGGTTGAGAAAATGGCTTCCAATAAATCATTGATGAATTTTTGGAGAGTTCCCTTCATCATGAGTAATCTAGAACGTGGTCCATAAAATACTATTCCATCATAAAAAGGCTACCTGGTAAGGTAAATCTCGGTGACCATTTTCTCCTGGCTTTCCGAGGGACCGTGTTCAGTTGGCTTGACCAGATGATAAGTTTTGTATCCCATCTCAGCATCTTTTGAATTACTACTACTAGTAGTTCCTCCCCACGGCCTACTCATTGTTGGACTATTCTTCAAGCTCAGAGAGGATTTTTCACTGCGATCCGATAGCAAGGACTAAAAGTGGAGGATTAGGAAGAGATGAAAAAACTATGACAACAAAGGCATAACTTCATCCACGACATCATGCAATAAATTAATGAAAACAAGCATGCAAAATGTCGTTCATGAAATTACCATTGTATTGACTGAGAAATTCACCAAGTTATAGAGTGAATTCTGACGTGCAGTTAGTATCAGAACGGAATGGTTCGTCACATTGTAATGAGCCAGCGTGTTCAACTTCTTCCAACCACCCGGTTCAATCTTAGAAGTAGTATCAATGTCCTGAAACAATCATAATGAATGTATTTATTGAGATCAACCAGAAGTAAGTAGGTTGTATACACTACCTGCAGTACTTGACGTCCATTAGGACCTGTTCTCCATTCTAAGTCCAGATCGTTTGCTGAAGGCCTCTCAGAGTACCTGACCGTTCTGTATTTCGCATCCAAACATTTCTCTTTGACCTATAATAAAGAGCAAACTTCTTCAATCTTTCAGTTTCAGGCTTTACCTGAGTTATGGTATCACAATCGAGCACTTTGACTGGTAAGTCAGGATATGAATAGGTAGCCGAGTCATTGGCAACAAAAATCGTCAACTCTCTGTATTCGAAAGTAGCACGCAATAGTTTCTCTTCAGAAAGAGAATAACGTGCTTCTAATGTGGCAGCATCTTGAGGACCTTTCTCCATCTGTTGCTTGATTCCCCAATAAAGATCGTACAGCCGCTTGCCTGCATAGTTCTGAAAGCAAAGTATCTAGAACAGCTAATCATATGTAATGCTTACCCTCAGATAGTCATGCATCAGGAAAGTGAACCATGCTGCTAGCATACGTTCAGCAATGCTTTCACTTCTGCGGAAAAGAATCTTTGGTTGGAACTTCTTTTCGACCGTTTTTTCTATCAACTCTCGAAGTAGTTGCTTCAACATTTCTGTGCAATAGCCCATTTTCTCTTGTAGCACGACCATTATAAGAGATCCAACATATACTCGGTCTTTCCCCAGGAAATATTTGTTGCTCTCCATAGTTCGGACCATTGTTAGGAAGAATGTCTTATTCATCAGCAGTTTGTGGAACTCACGAAGCCCAGACTCTACTGAGCCCGCGCGTCCACTTTCTACTTCAAGCTCATGAAGAACTGGATGAGTGAGAGGATTATTGGGGAAGAGAACCTGAAAGCAGAACTAAATAAAATGGACATGACTTTGTGAATCTCACTCTTGCACAATAATCCTTATATTCGAGGAAGGGCACGACTGGTGTTCCAAGTGGCAAGTCAGCTGTGTACTGATTCAAAGAAGTTTGTAACTCGGCAAAAGCTTCTTTGCATTCCGTCGCAACTTTCATCTCAATTGTATCCATTTGATTTTTCAAGAACTTCATCTGACGCCTGTGAGAACTTGTGTTCTTTTTGTAACAAATCGTCAATATGATGAGTAAAGCCACAAGCCCAAAAACAAGGAAAAATATGGGTACTATAGCTCCATATGGCATTCCAGGTGCATCATACGATAGCTCTCCAGCTGTGAAACTGAAACAAGTTGGGTGAATGACGGTAAGAAAAAGTCAAATACTTCAAACTTCCGATTTTTACATCGATCTGGGGAGTGGAACCTCCAACTGAAGACGGTTTGTTGCTTGGTGGGCGACAAGTAACAACTTTGTTGGCGAGCGCAGTTAGAGGACAATCCACACCACCGACAGTTATTCTTATATCTCTCTCAGTTGCTCCTAAGTTGAAATCCTTGCCGTTGATTGTCAAAGAGTTTTCTCCTGGTCGATAGAAACGGGTCTCGCTTATTTGGTCTACTGTGGGGTTAGGATAGACTCTGATCTGTCGCGTTCTGGAATTAATGCGTTCGATATAACCAGTAGTTTCGACATACTCTGTTCTGGATCCATCAAAATCAAAAGCAAAACTCTGCTTCAACGGTTTTGTAGGAGCAATAAGAAAACGATCGCTTGCCGGCAAGCGGGGTGTTTCGCAAACCATCAGAGAATCATCTTTGATTGAACAGTAAGGTCCAGGTTGGTCAATATCTCTTAAAAAACAATACGAAGTATGAAATAATTCCAAAAAGCACAAGTACCCATCAGACAGGAACACCATATATGGCCGTTGCAACATTGTAAACCCTTGTCCTCGAACATCGATCTGTATTCCTCCAGACGCAATGCTAATATCGGGATCTATTCGTGAGAACCTCGGGTTTGCCCTGGAACATATCAAAATTGAACAGAACAATAGAGACGGCTTCATATAATTTTTTTTAATGATACATGGAACATGGTGTCCTTAGCTGTTATAGGGAATACTTACTTGAAATTGAAGCTAATGGGCAGAACATTCCTTGTTGGTGAGCCATCAAAAGAGATATTTAATGGTAATTGACCATACAATTCCCCAGAAGGCATAGTACGACATATAAGTACTGAAGCGTTCCTATCTCTCACCTAGAAACGTTTTTTTTTCAGCTTAATTGAATATTTCAACAAACTTCACATGGAACGTTGCCAAATAGAACAACAACTTCACTTCCTGCATCCAGGTTATGACCGAACAAAGCTACATCAGTTCCTCCAGATCGAGGACCCTCATCAGGAGAAATTTTGCTGACATTAGGGTGAACATATGAGAACACAAGATCAGAGATAGCTACGTATTCAGCTCTATCTTTCAATCGTACCTATGCATATAACGTTCAATACAGAAAATCCTCGTCACTACTTACCACAACTGGCCCCTTGCTGCTTTTCATAACGTCCTCCCCTGTTTCACACACTATTTCAGAAGCAGGCTGATAGCCATTTCGAAGAACAGTGCACGGTACATTGGCTATTGTGATAGCATTTTGTATGTCCCTGAACTTTCGTCCCAGATTGGTTCCCATTATGCGAACTCTTGTTTTTCCACCAAACGGGCCTTTTTTGGGAGTGAAATCAGTAATGGTAGGATTTGCGCAAAGCATTGTGCTGTTCAACCAATCACGAGATGATTTGACCCTATGATTCCTATATTAGAATAATCAACAGACAGAAACCTTACTTGCAAGATTTTGGACGAGCACATCGATTCTCTGAACCACACCACCCACACTCAAAGTTTGCAGGATCGAGGGTAAGACATTGACCGCAATTAGTAGCCAGTAATTCGCACTTATACACTTCAATCGAAACGCCGTCTTCGTTATCCAAAACGTGGGAAACAGGTGCTTCATTGGACGACCAAATAACGTTGAAGCCAATTGGAGTACTTCCACTGGTTGCAGTGATCCCTTGATAGTCGAACAGCATTTCCTCACATCTGAATTATTGAAATTATCTCAATACAGCCAGCTATAACTAACGTTATCTGATTATCTCCTTCTCTTTTCGCAAGCTTTTCATGTACAGTGTTTCCTATCTTGAACTCGCAGCGAAACTCTGTCATATAATTTGGATCCAAGTTTTGGACATTGACAGAAATGTTTTTCCTTTCTCCGGCAGCAACGTAGATTTTATTCTTCGTTAGCTTTATGTGTGGGCACCATTCAGGGCCTTTCCTCCTAGAAGGACCATCTCTCTTCAAACCATTGACTATATGTAGCTTCCGGCATTTATCCTCAGTCAGTTTACCAGCTACACACTCATTCGATTCCAAACACCTGAAGAAATTCATGTTTAGTCTAACGAATAGTGTAGACTTACCAATCACATGGAAATTTGCTTGTTGAACATTGAGAACAAGTTGCGTGTCGCCCACAATCATAGAACGAAAACTTGGACGAAGCTATTGGAATAGTTCGGCCTTCCGGAACAATACTGAGTGTGGCATCAATGTAAGAAGCATTAGCAGGGATGGCGGGAATTTTAGTGAGAGATGGAGTTGAGCAACGGAGGTTTCTGAAGTTGAGTTTTATTGAAGCTATATTGAGTTATGACAAACCCATTAGCAGGATACGATGGTTCGGTATCCACTATTCGGCCATTGCTAAACCGAAAGGAACACTTGTATTTTGTCTTCGCTACTTCGATGTTCTCCAACGACACGTTTAGGAAATCAGCAGTGGTAATTTGGATTCTGTCAGGTGTCACAGATTTGATACTAAAACTGAGCATAACAGAAAGAAAAGAAGAGGAAGGTTATACTTGGGGCATTGATTGTCTTGAAATGAAAGCCATCCGGACGTTCTCGGAACAACTTTCTCACAACTATCTTCCTCTGTGCACATGTTATTCCTTACACACCAACCACAGTAAGGATCACCTTTGGATAAGCAAGCTCCACATGTTGTAGCATTGACATCACATGTAGAAGTTTGTAATTTGACGAGCTTAATAGTATATTTTAAATTCAACTTTCAATAACCCCTCTGCTTGGAAGGCTTAAGTTGGATATAATTGAAGGCCTTGTGTTCGTCCTAAGGAAGGGCACTCGAGTGGATATCCGGTGTCTTACTGCTGGTAATTAGGGCTTAGACTTAACTGGCTCTATGGAATAAATTATCGAGAATTTCAAGCTCAGTAAGAATGCTCTTCCAATTACAAGGAACTATCCACAAGGCCTCGAAGAATTAATGAAGTACTCACCTTACTGGGTGTCAAAACATAAATATGTTTCCCATTTTCGCTGAACTCTAGATCTTGGAGGATAGGCTCATTGTGGGATACTTCTTCGGAACCATACTGTTCAGCAGTGGTAGAGTTTATGATAAGAGTCTGAAATTGAGAGAATGAGTCAGCAATGTCTTCATATAATCATGAGTACCTTTATCAACGTTCCCGAATCAGTACCAATGAAAGCTACTGTATTACCATGGGTAGTATTCACGGCGATTGCAGTGAATCGAGCATCGTCAACAGTAAAGACGGGCTTAGCTTTAATAGGCAACCCTCCTCCTAGAAACAGAAGTTCTCAAACAATAAGGAAAAGGTAATTGTACCTATTACGCTGTTCACATCTTTTCCACATTTCACGAATTCCCACTGAAGTCTAGTTTCTTCACACTTATCAGCTGACTTGAACCAAGGTAGCTGCTTTGTAACTCTCCCTTGGTAGCAATTCATGATGTTTGTTTGAAACATAGCTTCTACATCTTTCTTCATCTTAATAATTCATTTATAATGAAAAAGCCTGCCATTTGCAATATACCTGATAAATACAAACGGCTGACTTTCTCGATGGTGATTCTCTTCGATGAGAATCTGGCTCACTGGCGGAGAACACGCCATAAAGGACTTGCTCCCCTTGACTTGAAAAAGCTTTTCATAAGAAAACTAGGAATGCAATTATAAACTCACGCTATGCCTAAAGAATTAGCCAAATTATATCCAGCTGTGCCAACATAAAGGTCCTGTAGTAAGTTGTAATCCTGATCCTTCGTTGAACACTCAAGTGGAACCTACATAAACAGCTCAATTAAAATATGTCCATGAGTCAGCTCACGTACCTCAGTGTAACTATAAAATTTCTTATCCCCTGTACAAACTCGAATGAGCCGAGATTGAACTTGAGAATCTTCCGCTATAGTTTTTCCTTGCCTAGTAGCAAAATAAGCGTAATCTCCTACTTGAAACCCGTTCACATAATTGATTCTTAAATTATATATTAAGCTTACTTCAAGATAACTGGTAATGATTTACCTATACGTTGACCTATACTTTCTTTCAACACTAATGGCAGTTGAAGTGGCAATATCTTTAGCCGCCAACTCGAAGTACTCGGTCAGAGACCTTGCTGCTACAGCTGGTATCTCATCACGAAACTGAAAGTTACAAAAATGAGTTCTCCTCAACTTTATGAAATAAATACTTTTCCGTTCACATAAGTGGACGCAACATATAGCACAGGTCCCTCAATATCATCTGAACCGTTCCCCACAAAAACGACTGAACTCGAATTGTCATCGTTTGATAATAAAGGATCTCCCGATTCAACTAGAGCCTGGGTTATGTTATGCAAATTACGCAAACGACATCGCCCCTAAAAACAGTAATTAGCAATTAGAGGAGCATTAATCCTTACTTGGTATAAATTGGAACATTCTATAAGTCTTGAAGACTTATCATCAATAGCTAGAGCTTTACAATAGGAATTGGTCTTGTATCTCTGCACGGAACATGCATCGTTTCGTCCTGAAAAAAAAATTGTAAATCAATCGTTTTATGGTTCGTCGGGAGAACACAAAACCCCCATCATCAAAGAAGTAATGTGTAAATCAGAAAAAGCTATAAATTAGTAGGCTTTGCGGTATCATCATCTTCACTTTGTCAACTCATTGACCCTAATGGCGAATCCTCAACTGTATGCTTACTATTTCGTCAAAAATGATCTCTTGCCCTCAGCACACGGCCAAGTGGCGGCGAATCAAGTTATCTCAAATAAAAAGCCACTAATCCTCTACTACTGCCATAAGTGTTCGGCTTACCGATAAAAAACATCGGCAGCTGTCACATTTTAGAGCCGGATAGTTTGCAAAGTAAAATTCCTTATATGTTCAGAGTACCCCCTGCTAAGAGTTCCAATGAAATACACACATCGATCGACTTCAAACGTCTCCTCTATTCTTTATTATTATGGTCATTAGGTAGAAGTTGTTTCGCGTGCCAATCAAACAAACAAAAGCGAATGAAAGTATTATTTTGCTCAATTAGGACATCTTATAGACTATGCCCATTCGATATGCTAGGTTATAATTAGTTGTTCCCTTATTAAGAAACAACAAGAAGACGAATCTCTCTCTCTCTCTCTCATTCAAACGTGTCAACATTTCACTTCCCCAGAGTATCTTCAAACTCATTCGATACCCATGAGTGCACAAAACATCATGACTCTCCTATATTCAGTTTCTTGTTCTTCCTCGTTCTCCATAACACTCTGCTGTTTCAAGAGAAACTTCAGTGAAACTCGAACGATCAGAATACTCAAGATTACCAATGTTGCTTTATATTTGGAAAACGACAATTGGACTAGAAATTCGCATTTCACATGATGTCTAGCATTTCAAGCCTTAAAAACCGTAATTACACTGATGAAGTAGCGGATTGGAGTTCATAAACTGATGAATGCATAATCAAGGCTGACCCTTTCCACAAAAAAACTTCAAGAGGATTGTCAGCATAATCCCTTACAGCTAGAGGACACAGGCGTGTGAATGGGATGCGGCACAGTGGGGTACATTTGAATGGAAAAGACAAACGGGTCACAAACAAAAGGAAAGGTACTTCTCGAAATGAACTGCATTACAAAAAATTCGGTAAAAAACTTAATGTTATGAATGTAGCCGACTCTCAATTCAAATCAAATATTAGAGGAACTAACGAGAAGTTGACTGTTCAAGTCACGCAGAGTTATTTATGTTCATCGATCACACATATATAGGGTGGTTAAACAGAAAAAACCCAAGAAAAAAAATGAAAGACATACCTCTACAATCATATGAATCCTCTTCAGGGCCAGTGACTGCATGAACACGTACTGAAAGATCAGCAGAAGATATATCGTACAGATGATTAACTCCTCCAACGAATATCCTAGTGGTAGAAGGATCAACGGCCTTAAATAGATAATAAAAGAATATCTCACAAGATTCAATGATGTTTATAGGGGTTGGTTCTACTCAGTATTCAATCAACTAAAATCCGCCATCTCACGTGAACTGCGTGATTGCGTGAAACCATTTAAAACGAGAGTTAACGCAGAGACCGGTCGCATTCAGGTTTAGTGAAAAAAGAACTAAAACCCACCATTTTCTCAAATACCAATCCTTCTTCCAGATGTGGATTTGGAAAAACTTTCCAGTCATCGCCTTCATATATAGCATGAGCTTGTGATATTAAAAGACAAAATATGAAACATTTATGGAGGAACCCCAGATATTCAGGTTTCCGCCACGTTCTGGGTGGCGGAGCGCCGTGATATTCGGTAGGTTTTTGCATTGTATCTTATAATCATTTCATTGCAACATAAATCGAATAATCTGAAATGATGAAAAATGATGAACTGTCACGAAGAACTCAGATCAAAGCTGATAAAAAAAGAGTAAAAAAATAGTAAAAAACGACGAAATAATGGGAAAGGAAAACTAAGCGAGCTCTAGTGACCAACAGTAGAGCGAGCTGGAGCATGAATTGAGCAACAAACTCAGAAGGCAAATAGAATTTAGAGAATAAAATCATATGGTTACTTCCATAATGGACAATAGTTTGAATCATTTGGTGGGGGTGGAGCGAGTTATGAGATGGATAGTAGGGAAATAATGTGCTGGAAAGGAGTAGCCAGACGATGTAGAGGATAAGAACAGGGAGACCTACGCTGCGTCTCTAGCTTTAGAAAGAAGGCCTTCTGTTGATGGAAAGAGGTAAGGATACAACGATTTACAACAATGATAAGCTTTGTCTTCTATCTCTAATTCTCTAAATCTCCTTTGCTACACTAAGTTCCTTTCTCTCTTTATAGTTTTGTCATATCAACCACATCGTCTAAAATTTACCACATAAAATCTTCTCGACCAAACATGATTTCTCTCCTAACTACCAGAGCTTAGCATATTTATAATTGAATAATGAGTTGAATTGGGATTAATTCTATTCTCTACCCGAATGTACGTGATAGTGTTGTAGGGGATACGCAAGATCGCGGATTTCCTAAAAGTTGACAAGTCCCCATCAACCTCACGGGCAGATTGATGAGGTTATGTCAGAAGCCAATGATCTTGTTACTACTTTAGAGTATAAGAGGGGAGACTAAATGAGCTTTCATGAGGATTCGGAGATGAAAGCTTGGAAGAATGAATTGGCGCTTTCTCAAAAAAAAATACAAGACAAACTTTGAGGAGATTATGTACATATTCAGATGTTATGTTCTCTGGAAGACGAATAGAGGATTGGAAGTTGAAGAAAAATCGGAGGAGAAGCATCGGATAATCACCGGAACTGCTAGTTCCTCTGGGGTGCGTGATTGGGATGCAAAAGTCTTCTGAATTAGGTTCAATTGACGATCGAAGATGTCATGAGAACTTTCTAAAAACGTTGTCAAAGTTATTTTAAATCAAATTTGTATCCTTTACCACCACTAAGTCATTCAGTTTGTAAGCAATGGACGAATGGTGTTGGACAAACAAAATAATCGCTTTTTGGAAAGTCTCGGGTAGTTCAACGGCTAGACCCTCAGTATTTTGAGTTCAGAGAATCAGCCAAAAAACTCTGTTCTCCGGATAAAAAAGCAGGTCATTAAGAAAATCAGGGATAAAAATTCAACATTGAAGCTCAATATATCAGAGGAAGCTGTTTCAACTGACAAAATACGATGACATCGAAATGTTCAGTCATCTCTCATTACAGCAAAATTAGTTGATGAAACTCCTGGAATTGAAAGGAAAGATCGTTTAGAGTTTGATATATTTGTTGTATATAAGACAAAATACAGAACTCGAAAAATGAAAAAAGAATAGTAAATACCAACAGAAATAGTTATGAGCAGTTAGCTATCCATATGTGTTGGTCATCTTTCTTAACAATGTTGACTCAAAAGATTTGTAATAACTCTGAAATGCTCCTGTTCTTCTACACCATATATAGTAGGATATAAAAAAAAGAATAAAGAATGGGTTGGTGGACAATGCAGAAGCTGAAGGAATACAACCAGAATATTACGAAGATTGGAGGAGACACAATGATTTATCAGAAAATTTTGGGGACGGCTGAGTGTGACAAAGGCAAGATGCACTTTACTCATCAAACTTCACTTCAAATTTTCATTTATGAGAGATTAAGCCCAGTTTAAAGAGCAGCAGATTGTTTCACACATAATTTCTTCTTAAGTCATGTATAAAGAGTGATTATGCAAACGAGAAGAAACTGAAATTAGTCATGACATGAGGTATCAGTAGCAACAGAATGACCATCATGGCTACTGGTCGTAAGAAGAAATATATTATGCCATAGGGAATACATCTGGAGCTCTCGTTCTACTACATAGCAATCCAATAACTTTCGACTCAAACTTCTTTTTTTATCTTTTCGCTTAGTCCTTAAACAATTTTTGAACAATTATTTTGTCCTTTTTTGAAAAAAAAAGCTCAAAGCACAGATGAAAGGAAAAAAGAAGCAATGAAGATGTTCTCAAGTAGTATGCATAAGCTAACAAGAACTTATCAAAATGGGGGAAAAAGATAGAGAGTAAGAGAGAGAGAGAGAGAGAGAGAGAGATAGAAGTGGCTGTAACTTTTGAGTTTCTTTGTCTAATGAAAGAACAGTTTTTATAACGAATTTCCTTAATCTATGCACAGTATTTTTTCTCTCCAACGCAATTGTGTTTCCGATGAGGAATTGTAAGAAACAAATAAGGAAGTGGGAATGAGTTGTCTCAGAGCTAAATCCCAATACATTTAAAAGTTAGAAAGTGAAACATTCGAAAGATTTCAATTGATGTACTTCTACTGTAAGCGAAAAGAGAAAAGCAATGGGAAAGTTAATGAGTGTCTCGTCAAGATTCAAAAGAAAATATTTCAATTATGAACCACTAAAGTATAAACGAACATTCCACTTTTCTTTAATCTTCTTCGGCCAAATCTATGCCATAGAACCTCTCACAAACTGGATGACATCCACGAGGGACCTATACAAAAGCCAAAGATGATCTAGTTATAATCAAGTGACTATTAAAGCCTACAAAAACGGGGGGGGAATCACCAAGAGACGAAGAAAGTTTGAAAAAATGCAACCGATCAACACGTTATGCGAACAGTAAATGAGATTTCAATCAGTGACCAAGGAAATACGCGAATGTGCTCGAAATCTGCATGTAGTAATGGAAATGATGATTGAAAAAGTGATCAATCTATTATCGATTTGATACAAATGAAAACGACACAAAACGCAAGAAAATGTTTTTGGCATCGATGAGAGATAATGATAGAAAGGGAAAAGAAGAGAAGAGAAAGGCTCTCTATATTTGTCCTTTCCTCTATCAACCTCATCCATCTCCTTCAAATCGTTTTTATCTCTAAACAGTACCGACAGCAGGAAAGAAAACATTCGTGGCAGTTGTTACGAAATTAAAGAAATAATTAGTGATATCAGAAAAGATTAAAATTAGTGAAGAATATAATCTGAGTGAGTCTAATGAGTGGAATAAAGGAAAAAAGGAAGTCAGGGGAGGTATTGAGTGACAATAGGTTGTAAAATGCGATTAGCTCTCAATTTCCATGTCTTCATGATGATTAAGGTTAATCTTATATTATAACATTCTTCCTTCAACCTTAATAAAATGTAAAAGTAATAGAAAGCTTAACAACATGAACAAATCAATGAAGACGATTCGGAAATGAAGAAAAAAGTGCAAAAGAGGTAAGAAGTCATATAAAACCATTCCAGAAATAAGAGAAGAGATAAGAAGTTGTACAGGAAGTGGGTTGCTATCTTGAAAATAGTGAAATACTCAACAGAAAAAATAAAAGAAAAGTAAAGAATTACGTAATGAAATATGTAGTGAAAGATTGATTGAGAGATGAGACAAAGGTCAACAGATGGGTTATGACCAAGTAAGTTATAATAAAAAAGAATGTTTTGGCTAAATGTATCTCATCAATGTAATCGATAATTATAATAAAAAGATAAACTGTAATCGTTCATAGTCGAAATAATGGTTATGTTATCGTTGGGTGCGAATTTATTATGAAAGGATTGGATGTTAAAATGTGAGATGAGAATGACAATAACGATAACAGAAATGGAAAAAAGGAAGATGATGAGAAATCACAGAAAGAGGAAGAATTTTAAGAGAATGAACGTCTTCGTCGACCACGACAACGACGATGTCATGATGTTGACGATGATGAAGATGTGGTCGTGAATGTTGACGATGTCCATATCATTCATTCTTCTCACCTCGAGACGACCCACATCCATAGCATATCGTTGGCAATAATTAATAAAGATTTCTTTATATAGTCTTCAGATGAAAATACCGAACACATGTGTGATTAGTTGAGGTTAGAATAGTGACTGAAAGGACATCGTTCAGGTTTGAGATGAGAATAAAAAAAATTTCGTAATTGTCGCCAAGATGGAAAAACGATTAGTCAGCAAGGAGTTGAATTTCCACAAATTAACTGGGGGATCGAAAAAATTAAGCAAAAAAGGAAAAAAGAATTAAACTTTCATCAAATCATGTGTATTCGTGAAAAAGACTTGCTTTTGACATTATTTCGACATAAATAATAATAATAATCAAACATGTTTTTGTATAGTACGTTGGATGTCCTTCTATAAAGTGTTAGAACAGGGAAACAAGACAAACTTAAAATGTGGTTAAAACGAATCGTAAACCTAATCTTTTGACGGCCAGAACCTCTCGTGTCGTCTTGAGCTGCTGAGCTGGGAATAAGCGGAAGAATTACAGAAGAGGTGATTAGAACGTCGACGCTATGAAGAAACATTGAAAGATGAACAGACAAAGAAAGAAGACTAAAAAGCTAATGTTGTAAGAAAGAAGTCCCAACAACATCATCTCAGTCAATGATATGACAACTCCAATGAAAACACCAAAAAAATGTTGAGAAAATTCAAAATCAATGACATCTTTACGGATTGTACAGAGGAACGAGAAGAGAAGTTATTGTTAAAAAGGAAAATAGTTTAAAAGACTAAAAATGAAAAAAAAAGTTTGATCGTCAACATCTGCTTGAAAACGACAAAAATCTCCTTCATAGCCTCTTGTTCATCGATGTTTCCGATATAGAAAAACAGTCTGAAGCACGTCAAAAGGCTATTAAGGACAATGAGGTTTTCGTTGATCGTTTTTATAACTCTTTCAGATATTTTATTTTGTTAAAAAAAGAAACGATTGATGGTTGAAAAATGAAAGAAGCAAAGATAAGACTCAAAATGAGAAATTAAAAGAGGCAAATAACCTAATAAGGTTATTCTCTTCGAAA